CCTGGGTGGCCCCGCCCTGGTGAACACCTAAGGCTCCGCTCTTCATACCTAACAGGCACGAACAGATCAAAACATGGTTCAAGGACTAACGCCAAGGTGGAGGTGGAGGTGGAAGCACTGTGCCTTCTTGCACAACCAAGTTTAAAAACAACAAAGTTTTAGCAATAAAAACGCAGCCAAACCACAGAAAAGTGAACTACACGGAAGTCTAACAACAATGCACCCTTCAGCCAAGCTAGTAAGAGGGGCAGAGCCAGCAGCAGAGCAGGGTTGGGCAGGAAAAGATCCACCAGATCTACCCAGGAGCGCGACCCAGGTGCGCCAGCAGCCATGGGTGGATCCCAGGTGTGGAGAAGCGGGTGGACCCAGTGAGGGCTGACCATGGTCACACATTCGCACGCAGATAAACTGGTGAAGCTGCGAGCAGTAAGACGGATCTTGCAGGCCCCAGCAGCAGGAAGCAGCAGAGGGAACTGCCATTGTCCCTCTCTGACCATGCCCCCACATAGAACATCACAGACCAGTGAGCTGGGTAGCCCCGCCCTGATGAATAATTAAGACTTCGCTCCTCATACATAACAGGCATGAATAGATCAAAACATGGCTCAAGAACAACTCAGAGCCCCAGAGCCCATAAATCTAAGTGATGAAGAAATAGCCAAACTTTCAGATGCACGATTCAAAACACTGGTCATCAGGATGTTCACAGAACTGGTTGATTTTAGTCACAAAGTAGAGGAACCTATGAAGGCTAAACTAATTGAAATGAATGGAAATGCACAGGAAACCAATAGTAATGGAAAGGAAACTGGGACTCAAAGAAGTGGACCAGAAGGAGGAAAAAAATGACCAAACAGAAAAATATGAAGAAACAAGAATTCAAAAAAATGAGAGGCTCAGGAACCTTCAGGACATCTTTAAATGTTCTAACATCCAAATTATAGAGGTACAGAAGGGGAAGAGGAACAGCCATGAGTGAAAAACTTTTGAACAAATAATAAAGGAGAACTTCCCCAATTTGCCAAAGGAAACAGACTTCTAGGAAATCCAGGAAGCTCAGAGAGTCCCAAAGAAGTTGGACCCAAGAAGGACCACACCAAGGCACATCATCGTTACATTAGCCAAGATTAAAATGAAGGAGAGAATCCTAGAAGCAGCAAGAGATAAGGGGACAGTCACCTACAAAGGAGTTCCCATCAGACTGTCAGCTGATTTCTCAAAAGAGACCTTACAGGACAGAAAGGGCTGGAAAGAAGTATTCCAAGTCATGAAATCCAAAGACCTACAACCAAGATTGCTCTATCCAGCAAAACTTTCATTTAGAATGGAAGGGCAGATAAAGTGCTTCTCAGATAAGATCAAATTCAAGGAGTTCATCATCACCAAGCCCTTATTATATGAAATGTTAAAGGGACTTACCTAAGAAAAAGAAGATAAAAAAGATGAACAGTGAAAGGACAGCAAACTCACAGTTATTAAGAACCACACCTAAAACAAAAGCAAACTAAGAGGACAGCTAGATCAGGAGTGAACCGCAGAAATGGAGATCACATGGAGGGTTAGCAACAGGGGAGAGGGAGAAGGAAAAGGGGAGAGAAGGTACAGAAAATAAGTAGCATAGACAGTAGGTAGAAAATAGATAGGGGGGAGGGCAAGAATATTATGGGAAATATAGAATCTAAAGAACTTGAGACACGTGGTCATAACTAAAGGGGGGAATGGTGGGGGTAAGGGGGTGCAGGGTGGAGGGGAATGAAGGGGGAAATAGAACAAATGTAATGGCATAATCAATAAAATATATTTAAAAAAATAACCTTTTAAACAAATGTTGGGAGATCTGGATAGCTACATGCAAAATAATGAAACTTCACCACCAACTTACACCATACACAAAAATAAATTCAAGGTGGATAAAAAGACTTACAAGTCACAAACCATAAAAGTCCTAGAGGAGAACATAGGCAAGAAAATAGCAGATAGTGTACACAGCCATATTTTCACCAATGTTTCCTAGAGCAAGGGATATAAAGGAAAGAACAAATGGGACTGCTATCAAATTAAAAATCTTCTGCATGGTTAAAAAAGACATCATCAAAATGAAAAGGGAACTGACCGTATGGGAAAGTACATTTGCCACTGATACCTTGGAAAAGGGTTTTATCTCTAAAACATTTAAATAACTCACGTAACTCTGCATGAGGAAGACAGTCCAATTAAAAACCTGGCAAAGGACCTGCATGATGTGGGCTCCTTCCAATGGCATCTGTATGTTGTGGATGCAGTGAACAAATTCACATGGACTACAGAAATCCTGTGAAGAAAAATGGATGACACGACCATTCTCAGAGCATACCTCCACCCTTGCCTGGGGAGTCTTTTATTGGCTTTCTAATGACATAAATCAAAGGAGTTTCTCATTCATTATGATCAGGGTGGCTTTAGTTGATTACTTTTCACAGATTACAAAGGAAAGGATGTTACTGATTACTTCTTACAGAGTAACAAGGAAAAAATGTTGCAAATGCAAGAGAATGATAAGTTTTGGTGTGGTTACACTCAGTCCTTGTACGAATTAGCACAGACTTTTGGAAGTTACTTTAAAGATATGTAGTAAAAATTTGCTGCTTCAAACTCAGGGTGAGGGAGTTTTAGCTAGAGCAAGTATCAAAGCAGCCTAGGTATAATGCAGGCCTGTTTTTTCCACTAGAAAGCTTATTCGTTGGTTTGGCTCCTCTGTGCCAACTTGTAACTTTGGGTTTTCTGATAGGGCTGGGCTACATTCACCATGCCATGTGGATCGGTTCCTTGTATTTCCCACCTTGTTTTTAGTTAAGACTGCCACAAAGCTTGTCGGTTTTCCAGTAGGTCTGGGTTACATTTGCCATGCCAGGTGGATCGGTTCCTTATATTTGGAACAGACACTTCTCCAAGGAGGACATACAGAGGGCCCTTATGAAAAGATGCTCAGCATCACTAGCCATCAGAGATATGCACATTAAAACCACAATGAGATACCACTTCACATTGGTAAAAATGGCCATCATAAACAAAGCAACAAACAAGTGCTGGCGAGGTTGTGGAGAAAAGGGAACCCTAGAGCAGCATTTGTGGGAATGCAGGCTGGTGTAGCCACTGTGGAAAATTATGGAATTTCCTGAAAAAAACTAAAAATGGAACAGTTGCCTTTTGATATGACAATTCCAGTGCTGCGATTATACCCTAAGAATCTTGAAACACCAATTCAAAAGAACCTATGCACCTAAATATTCATAGCAGTGTTATTTAAAATAGCCAAGAACTGGAAACAGCCTAAGTGCACTTCAGTAGATGAGATGATTAAAAACTATGGTACATTTACATAATGGAATACTATGAAGCAGAAAAATAGAAGGAACTCCTCCCCCTCGTGACAACATGAATGGATCTGGAGAGCATTATGCTAAGTTAAGTAAGCCAGACAGTGAAAGTCAAATAGCATGTGATCTTACCTATAAGTGGAACCTAATCAAGAAAACAAATATGTGAAGAAAATAGAACCAGAGATATGGAAATAAGGAACAAACTGACATTGACCAGAGGGTACATGGAAGGACCATATAGGGGCATGAAAGGGGAGGGTGAATTCAAGGAATAAGTTCAAAGGACCCATGGACAAGGACAACTGTGGGGGAGGATTGAATGTGGATGATGGGTTATGGGCAGGGCAGGGGAAATTAGTGGGGAGAAAATGGGGAAAACTCTAATTGAACAACAATAAAAGCATTAAAAAATTAGAAGTTTGCAGAGATGCTATTACTAAAATTTATGTAATATGCTTTTAATATTGAAAGTCCTTAAGATGTATTTTGATAACCATAGATAGTAAGCCTTTGGTTCTTGAATTTTATTGATTTTTTTAGTTAAAAAAAACAAACATCTAGGTTGTAGAAAATAACTTATAAATGCTATTGTGGAATTCTGCAGTTATCATAAAGCCAGCTTTGTACCATCTATATTCTTAGTGTCTGCTAAATGCTTTGTCGTAAAAGTGGATAGAGGTAGTCAAGGTAGGGGTAATTAACATGCTCTAAGAAAGAGTTTCATGCCTTCCATTTTACTGCTAAAAAATCTCAATTTGTTTAATTTACTGCTTGTAGCAGACTTTGCGTGACAAAACTGCCTGTATGAAAATTCTGACATTTTCTCATTTAATGACCAGTCTGCTTAAGAAAGAATACATACATAATTTAATAGTTAGACCTTTTAAAGCCTAATTTCTCCTGCCATAAATAAGTTAAAGTTTTACTATGGCCAGCTGTGTATGTGGTATTTTGCCAAGTACTTTGGAGGAAATTGGGGTCCAGGTACATTTTAAATATTGGGCTTTATTCAAGGTAATGTATCCTAGTAAACCACAGAGCAATGGAGTAAGTAGTTCCATGTGATATTAGAGCTTGTGTTCTTTCCTTCCACTGTACCATCCTTTTGTTTTTTTGTACAGTAGTCTCCCTTTATATGTGGGAGGTGTGTTCCAAAACCTTCCTTGGATGCCTGAAACTATGTGTAAAGAGTATGAAGCCGAATATATATTGTTTTTTCCCTATATATAGCTATGATGAAGTTTAATATATAAATTAGTCACAACAAAGAGATTAATAAGAATAATAAAATAGAACAGTCATAACAACATACTGGAATAATTATGCGAATGTGATCTCTTAAAGTATTTCATTGTACTATACTCACTCTTATGGTGATAGGAGATAAAACAGTGCCTATGTGATGATAGGAAGTAATGTGGATATGCTGGATAAAGGGATGATTCATATCCAGAGCTGGACAGTGTGTGATTTCATTCTGCTACTCAGAATGTCACCTAATTTAAAAATTATGAATTTTTATTTTGGGAATTTTCCATTGAATATTTTCAGACTGGTTGACCACTGGTAAGTGAAACCACAAAAAGTGTAATCTCAGATAAGGTGGGGGGAGTAATTTAAATTTTAACTTTTTTTTTTCAGGTTAAGAGGACAACTCTAGTGGACAGCAGAACATCTGTCACTGATGTGAAATTTGCTCCTAAGCATATGGGTCTTATGTTAGCAACCTGTTCAGCGGATGGTATAGTAAGAATATATGAGGCACCAGATGTCATGAATCTCAGTCAGTGGTCTCTGCAGCATGAGATCTCATGTAAGCTAAGCTGTAGTTGTATTTCTTGGAACCCTTCAAGGTAAGCTTACATGGCATACTTGTTATAATATAATCCTAGAAAAATGGTAATTTTTAAGCTAGCATTTGAAGCTTTATTTTCTTAGTTATGTTCATTATTTTGATATAATTTAATATATATTATTTTTACTAATTTTAATTATATATGTATATATAATATATATTATTAATTATTACTATATCTTGTTAACATATATGGAATAACATTTTTTCCTTCTCCCCCCTTTCTCTTGGAGAAAACCAGCCATTTAAGATACTTTGGTGTATACCTTCTGGGCTTTTTCCATGGACATACAAATAAATAGTTAATGCTTATATAAGTACACAAATAGATGCAAATATGTACAGGTATATACTCTCATATACAGGTAGATACAAAAACGTACAAGACCTTTATAGACATACATTTTTTTCCTTGCAATTTTTTTCACTTATAACTTGTGGGCATTTTTTGTGCATTACTATTTAGTCAGTCCTACATTATCCTTTAACTACCATGTAGAGCGTGACTCTTAAGACAGTACCATAATTGCTTTATATTAAATTGTTTTAAAAATTAAAGGAGCCCTGGTTGGTATGGCGCAGTGGATTGAGCTCTGGTGTGCGAACGTAAAGGTCACAGGTCAGAATTCGTACCTGGGTTGCAGCCCAGGGTCATCCCCAGTTGGGGGCATGGGAGAGGCAAACAATCCATGTATCATTTGCACATTGATGTTTCTTTCCCTCTCTTCCTCCCTTCTGTTCTCTTTAAAAAAGTAAATAAGATCTTTAAAAAAATTAAAGGTATAGAGACTTCCGCCAAGATGGAGGCATAGGTGGAAGCACTGCACCTTCTCGCACAACTAAGTTTAAAAACAACAAAGTTTTAGCAACAAAAACGCAGCCAAACCACAGAAAATTGAACTACATGGAAGTCTGACAGCAACGAACCCTTCAGCCAAACCTATAAGAGGGGCAGAGCCAGCAGCTGAGTGGGGTCGGACCAGACCTACTCAGGAGCACGACCCAGGTGCGCCAGCAGCCATGGGCGGATCCCAGGTGTGGAGAAGCTGGCGGACCCAGTGAGGGCTGATCACAGTCACACATTCGCACGCAGATAAACCAGTGAAGGAGCTAGGAGTGAGACAGACCGTGCAGGCCCCAGTGGCAGGAAGCAGCAGAGGGAACTGCCATTGTCCCTCTCTGACCCCGTCCCCACATAGAGCGTTACAAACCAGCGACCTGGGTGACCCCTCTCTGACCACGCCCCCACATGCAGCATCACAAAACAGTGACCTGGGTGGCCCCACCCTGGTGAACACCTAAGGCTCTGCTTTTCATACATAACAGGCACGAACAGATCAAAACATGGCTCAAGAACAACTCAGAGCCCCAGAGCCCATAAATCTTAAGTGATGAAGAAATAGCCCAACTTTCAGAAGCACGGTTCAGAAACACTGGTGATCAAGATGCTCACAGAACTGGTTGATTTTAGTCACAAAGTAGAGGAACCTATGAAGGCTAAACTAATTGAAATGAATGGAAATGCACAGGAAACCAATAGTAATGGAAAGGAAACTGGGACTCAAAGAAGTGGACCAGAAGGAGGAAAAAAATGACCAAACAGAAAAATATGAAGAAACAAGAATTCAAAAAAATGAAGAGAGGCTCAGGAACCTTCAGGACATCTTTAAACGTTCCAACATCCAAATTATAGAGGTACAGAAGGGGAAGAGGAACAGCCACGAGTGGAAAACTTATTTGAACAAATAATAAAGAACTTCCCCAATTTGCCAAAGGAAACAGACTTCCAGGAAATCCAGGAAGCCCAGAGAGTCCCAAAGAAGTTGGACCCAAGAAGGACCACACCAAGGCACATCATCATTACATTAGCCAAGATTAAAATGAAGGAGAGAATCCTAGAAGCAGCAAAGATATAAGGGGACAATCACCTACAAAGGAGTCCCCATCAGACTGTCAGCAGATTTCTCAAAAGAGACCTTACAGGCAAGAAGGGGCTGGAAAGAGGTATTCCAAGTCATGAAATCTAAAGACCTACAACCAAGATTGCTCTATCCAGCAAAACTTTCATTTAGAATGGAAGGACAGATAAGGTGCTTCTCAGATAAGATCAAATTCAAGGAGTTCATCATCACCAAGCCCTTATTATATGAAATGTTAAAGGGACTTATGTAAGAAAAAGAAGATAAAAAATATGAACAGTGAAAGGACAGCAAACTCACAGTTATTAAGAACCACACCTAAAACAGAAGAAAACTAAAAGGACAGCTAGATCAGGAGCAGAACCATAGAAATGAAGATCACATGGAGGGTCAGCAACTTGGGAGTGGGAGGAGGAGGAGGGGAAAGGTACAGAGAATAAGTAGCATAGACAGTAGGTAGAAAATAGATAGGGGGGAGGGCAAGAATAGTATGGGAAATATAGAATCTAAAGAACTTGAGACACATGGTCATAAACTAAAGGGAATGGTGGTAGAGGGGGTGTGTAGGGTGGAGGGGAATGAAGGGGGAAATAGAACAACTGTAATGGCGTAATTAATAAAATATATTAAAAGAAGAAGGAATAACGAATCACTTGGTAAAGAACAAATTCAAGTAATCTAGAAGAGTAAAATATGAAAAGTAAAAGTTTCTCTACCTCTTAAAAAATGCTCTTTTCAATGGTTTTGTTTTTAGATTTTAATTCTGTTAATCAACTATTCTATTTTTAAATGATTATCTTATACCCTATGTTCTTCCTATTTATCTATACTCAATATGCGGAAGAAGAATTTGGTAGATTTATAAAACTTTTCCTGTAGTGTCAGTAGATATTTGTGGAGCTGTTGATAGTTGTTTTAATTATGGTGGTAATTACCATAATGTCAAATGATTTTTATTTTTGTACTTAATGATCTATCAATTTTTAGGCTATATATTGACTCACCTTTTTAAAAAAAGAAATTAGCTTATTTTGCTTCTACCTTACATTTACCCTTCCATTTCCTAATATTTTATTTCTTACATACTGGCAAAATTCACAATATTTATATTTAAGTGTCAATACATTTGTAAATATTTTGTCTTTTGACTAGAAGTTGATTCTAAAAATCAAGCAGTAACCAAATTTACAATATTAGATTATTTTAAGTGTTCATTATAGGTGCAAATATTACCTGGAAACTATTGTTCACACAGAATAATCTGATGTTCTGTGCTGTATTTTTTTCTTGATTCCTTTCCTTCTGGGTTATAATTCGCTGTCACAGTTTTCATATCACCTCTCGTCTTCAGACTTTTTTCATTTTGATGCCATACCTCCTAAAGTAATTTTTTCTATAGGGGATGGATGGCAAATTCTTTGAATGCTTGCACACCTAACAATGTCTTAACTTTACTCCAGGCTTAATTGTAATTTAGCTAGTTTTAGACTTCTAAGTGGTGTGTAAGAATTTCAAAGATTTTGTTCTTTAAGTGTTAGTTGAGATGTTTGAGGGCAGTCTGATGCTGGTTCTTTGTAGGTAGCCTGTTTCTGGAAGTTTTTAGGATTTTGTCTTAACTACTTTTAGCTCTGTTTGAAAGTATATTTTCCTAGTTTGCAGTTTGTCCTTTTGACACTGTGGTGACTTGATAATTAACAGAGAGTAGTTAACTATAATGTAGCCACAGTCATTCCTTGTTATAGTGCTTTTTATTTTTATTTGAGAAAATCTTCCCCACCTTGAGGTTGTCAGCTATATTCTGGAAGGTTGATTTTGCCTTTTGCATTTAGGGCAGTAACCCCCCCCCCCCCCCCGATTGCTATGAATGTGGTTTGAGGTAATAGAATTCTATAATGTAACCAGGATGGTTCTAGGTTTTTTCCTTTTGTTATTATTTTAAAAATGTTTTTTATCTTCACCTCAGGTCATTTTGTTTCCCATCCCTTTTAGAGAGATAGGGAGGGAATTGAACCTGCAACCAGCCACACTGTCCAGGGTGCTATTTTTTTGTTTTTAAAAATTTTGGGGGGGGTTAAGGAAAATTTCAGATATTGCAAAAGTAGTAATAGAAGTGCAGAAGGATCCTCACATGTCTATTACCCATCTGTAACTCAAAACTACTCTTGATTTACAATATGTATACATTCCTTCTTCCCCCATTCCCTCCCTCCCCCCAAAAAAATGACTGTATTGAATAAATAGAGACATATATACTATTACTCATTGGTCTTTTTTGATTCATCCTGCTTGATGCTTATTGATTTCTTTCAAAATACAGATTCTTGTCTCAAATTGAGGATCCTCTATGATTCTTTAACAGTTCTATTATGTCTGTTCTGTCTTTCTGTAACTCATTTTTGATTATTGTGGGCTCATTTTCCATATCTTTGACGTTGTACTACTGTATCCCCCAGATCTCCAGCTTGTTCTCTAGGCACATATTTTGTATCATTCATTTTTTGGGGGGGTGCAGGGAGCGTGGGTAGGGTGGCAAATTGGCAATTGTTTTAATTGTTAAGAAGTTGTCTTTTTCTCTGTTACATTACTCTTTCACCAACACAAAGCACAAAAATGCAGAAAACGTGGTGAAAAGAGTGCAAAAGAGATAACTTGCTTTCAGTATGAGAGCTGAAACAAGAAGGTAGAACCTCACTTTGTTCTACCTCAGCATGGAATGTGTATGTCCGGTGACTCAAAGTTTTTGCAGATCTGCTTCAGACATGTTCATGAGTGACTGAAAACCCCAAATACTAGATTTTTGGGATTACAAATACATTTTAGCAAGTAGGTTAGTTTTCAAATGTAGAATCTACAAATAATGAGGACCTGTGTCTATTTGCTCAAAGATCTGTATACCTTAGCTTTTGTCTTTCATGCATGCATCTTTATTTTCTTTGAGTATGTGTTAGTCTTTACTTAATCTATATGTTTTTATGAGCAAGAGATTATTATGGCCAGTAGAGGAAACTGGCATTTTTATTTTTCTTCTGTTAGGTGCTCTGTTTTCTTAATAGCTCACCCACTTACCTACAGGTTTGGCTGAGTTTCATCTAAGTTAGGTGGAGTGGTTAGCAGGATTTCTTGGTAGGGAATGCTGAAATGCCAAAGTCAGGAGGACCTGATTTGGGGGATGGAGCATTTTAATGTACTTTATTCCTTCTTCCTCTCCTTGCCATTGTCGGAGTACTATATTTTAAGTTCTTATCTCTTCTCTTTTGCATTCTAAATCATCTCACTAGAATCGTTTCTCAGACTTTAATCTAGAGCAGAGTTATCTCCCAGCTTTGGGGGTCTTCTAATTGCACTTCTTTAAATGAATCACCTTATGACTCATTCATATTCACTCCATGTTTTGAATGAAGGTTGGAGGTTCTAGAATTTCATCCTTACTGATTGCCATATGGGTTCTTTTTCCCCTTTGCATTTTCTGTCTCACTTTCTGCTTCCTGTTTTGGGCTTCTTCCAAATATTTAAATTTCTGATGGCACACTGATTTCTAGCACTGTTGTGGTGTTACTCTTTTCATCATTTCCGTGGAACCTTAGGAGGGAGGAGGAGTTGTGGATGATCAGTCTACAGTACACAGAGTGCTGGATAGTTTTTCTTACTGAGTCAAATTTGGAAGACATTTTCAATGTGAACAGGTTATTTCAGGATATACAAATGAGGTAATCCCCAATTCAGTTGTTATACAGATACTTTATAATTTTATTTAAAAATGCTTTAGTTTGAAAGATATTTTAAATAATTTTAGAATATGTTATTATAAATGTATTTTTGTTCCTTGCTCAAATATTTAGCATAATTTTTTAAAAGTTGTATTTATAGAACATTAAAAAAAGAGTTTGGGAGATACAGAAATTACTATGGAATTTACATCTCTTTGGTCAAGATTTATTGTAGTATAAATCACTTGGAATTTTATTACTAGAGAATTTTCCAGTTTTTCTGGTATTTTTCTTATTTAGGTAACTTGATTCATTATCAGGAGCTTTAGTTATCAAGCTTTTGGAATAAAGAACTAAGCCTTTTTAAAAAATTACCACATTCTGTTTTCAGCTTTATGAGTTGGCAGATCACAAGACCAAGATAAAAGTTTAAATAAGGGTATCATGTTCGTAGAGATATTAATCTGCATGAGGGAGGGAAAGGAAATCAATATCTAGGTAATTAGATATTTAATTAAATAAAAATAAATCCTTTAGCCTAGAGTTGAATGGAGTTCATTCTCTCATTGCTTATCTTTTTGCCATTTAAAATGAATGTAGAATAGACAAAAAACTGTACTTGAAAAAAAACTAAATAAAATAAAATAAATAAATTCAAAGCCTTTAAAAAATAATAAATAAAATGAAACTAGAGAAGAGAATGACATGGGGTGCATGCCTTCCTGAAGGGTTTCTTCTTTTTTGTATAAAGTATTTAAAATCTTTTTGTTATGACTTTAGCACCGTAGAGTTTCTTTTCATTCCACAATTAATGACCAGGTCTTTCAGGAAGAAAAATTTGAGGACCTTGTAGGTTATTTTTTTCTTTTCTTGTTTTAAAGACCTATTGAACGCTTGAAACCTTTTCTTTTAGGGAAGAAAGCTACTTTCTTTCTCAGCTATGATAAAATATAACAGTAATGCAAAAGGATAGTAGTCTTGATCCCCATGTTGAGCATTCTCAAGGACACACACTCCCAAGGTACTGCTGTGTTGAATGTATGCCAGAGATTTAATCATAGTCTTGCTGACTTTTAGGTTGTATTTAAAAGAAAATAAAATTTTTGAGTTAAATATAATTAATTTAATTGTTATGTGAAATATTTTTTACTTTTTATTTCTAGCTCTCGTGCTCATTCCCCCATGATAGCTGTAGGAAGTGATGACAGTAGTCCAAATGCAATGGCCAAAGTTCAGATTTTTGAATATAATGAAAACATCAGGTCAGTACTGCTTTATTTTAAGTATTGTTCCAAATTGCATTTAACTTTTAAGAATGATGTTTCTTTGTTCATTAACTGAATTATGCATTATTTGTTACATATTTGTTGATTTCCTATGATATGGCTTGGTCTTTGATAGACTATGATAATATAAAATTGAATGATGCAGAGGACAAGATAATGATTTCCCAGTACTATCTTGAAGGGAAAGCAGACAAACAAAACAGTTAAAAATGGTAATGAATTTTATAAACCGGAGAACAAGTTTATACTCAGGGAGAGGGTGCCAGGAAGGTTCATCCAAAAGCAGACCTTAAGGATGAGTAAAAGTTAGCCAAAAAGAGGAAAACATTCCATATGGAGAAAACTGCATGTGATATGGCCCATGAACAAGAGAGCCAATGTATTTTTTTCTGTGGTTGGAACATAGGCAAAGAATAGTGTGGTGAGAAATATGCAAGGCTTATATATACAAGATTTCGTGTTCAGTGGTTAGGATTTATCTCACAGATAATATGAAGCCTTTGCAAGATTATTTAGTTGGGGAATAACAGGATCAAATGATAGTTAAACTCTTCTAGATGTGTCTTTTGGAAGGGAACATGAATGGATTTAGGGCAAGATACTATTATAATAGCCTATTTGGGAGATTATAGTGGCTTCAAAAACAGGAGTGGCAATGGGGTCAGAGAGAAGTAAACCATTTGAGAATAATTTAAAAAGTAGTATCAATAGGATGTAGTGATTGATTGGATGTGGGAAGTGAAGAAGAAGAGGAGAGCTATCAAGATGATTTCCCATGGTCTGGCTTAATAATTCAATGGATAGTGTGTAATTTCTTGAGATAAGGAATTTTGGAAATAGATCAGGTTTGGGTAGAGTATAGCAATATGTGAAAAAAATTTTAATTTTGGTCATGTTGAGATGCCTGTACTCATAGTCTTAATAGGAGAAAAAAGCACCTATTAGGCGATTGGCTGGGCTTCACATGTGCTAGATAAAATTCTTGTGTATAGTTGTCAGATATTCAGTGGAGCCAAAAGTAGAAGAGAAGAACTATTACAATTCCTATGGGCTTTGTAGTTCAGATGGTACTACTTGGGTTCTTAAGGGGTTCTTATACATGCCTTCTACCTTCCTAGATTCTTGATTTCTTTAAAGAGGCTTTGTCTGTAGGGGTGCTGTCCACTTGAACTTGCTGTGATGGTGGAAATGGTCCATATCTGCACATTTGATGTAGAAACTTGAAATTTGGCTACTGCAACTGAGAAATGGATTTGCTAATTTATATCAATTTAATTTTAAATCGGCACATGTGGCGAGTGGCTGGTGTATTGGCCAGCACACTTCTAGAATGTAGAAACCTTCTTTTAGGACTCCTTTTAAGCTCAAAGCTATTAATAGCACATTTTAAAGAGGATTCATGAACAGTTAATGTTGTTCAAGTAGTTTCTTTCAGCCTTAGCTGAACAGAGTGAATAATGAGTTGTAGGTCATAAAACTTAAAATGTGGACCATTTCTAAAACATGGAAATAGGAAGTACTTTATAAATAAGTTTTTTTTTAAGTAGTGGAAAGTCTTTAAAAACTTTTTAAAAGATTTTATTTATTTTTAGAGAGAGGGTAAAGGAAGGAGAAAGAGAAGGAGAGAAACATCAGTGTGTGGTTGCTTCTTCTGTGCCACCCAATAGGGATCTAGCCTGCAACCCAGGCATGTATCCTGACAGAAAATCAAATCACCGACCCTTTGGTTTGGAGGCCATCACTCAATCCACTGAGCCACACCAGCCAGGACACTTATATAAATGAGATTTGAGTAAAGGGATAAAGAACTTGGATTTTTAAAGAATTTTTATTTATTGATTTTAGAGATGGAAAGGAAAACACTGAATTGTGATTCCACTTATTCATGCATTTATTCGTTGATTCTTTTATGTGCCCTGACTGGGAATTGATCCTGCAACCTTGACATATGACGAGGATACTCTAACTGAAGCTACTTGGCCAGGATTAAGAACTTGGATTTAGTTCTGAAAGAAAATACAGGGCAGATAGAAAGTATTTAAATACTTAAAAGAATCCAGTGATAAAGATAATTCACGATTGTGTGTAAGTCTCTAAGGTAGGAGAATATGTATACCTAGATCAGGGGCTGGATCTCCTAATATTATCTTAACAAGGAGTCTCACTGTGGAGGAATTTTGGGGTTAATTAAGTGGCTCAGTTGCTCAGTGATGATGTCAAGGGCCTTAGTATTTTTCATTTTTTGTTTTTGCTGTCATCCTTAGTGTGTTGGTTTCAGCAATTTAGGATTACGAAAGTGCCAGGTGACCCATGCAAATGTAACGAAGGGCATTTACTTTCATGAATCTTTTTGTATTAGGAAGAGAAAAACGTTTTCTAGAAGCACCTTAGCAGTCTTTTTCATCAGGTCCTGTTGGCCAGAATTGGGTCACTTTACCATGCCATGCTTTACCTGCAAGGGAGTTAGCCTGTGCCTGGCATTTTCTGCATTTAGAATAAAGGTAAAGTGGTACCAATGTCTGTAGGCGGGGATGGGGAGGAATTCACTTAGGAAGTTATTAGACCTTTTTGAGTTCAGCTAGTTTTTGGATTTTTTTGGTCTGGTTCTTTGAAGTAGGAGTTTGAAGGTTTTAATAGGTTGAGCATGTTACACATGTGAGAGTGGACTATGTAGCATTCAGTTATTGATACCTAATTGATCTCTTTGTAAGAAGTGACACCATTCAGTAAATAGGAAACATTTGTCAAGTAAACCAGAAATGGGTATTTTTATTTCTGTTTGTGAATGAAAATATTAAGACAGAGCTGACCTTGACAATGATACAAGTATCCTGCATTTATGTATGTTACAGGGCACTTTTCACATATATTACAAATATGAATGCCAATAACCATCTTATAAGTAGGGTAGGTGTCTTTTACATTAGCACCATTTTCTAAATATAGAAAGTGAAACCAACAAAGTAAAATGACTAGTCTAAGGTCAAGTAGAAGAGTCAGGACTACTTAGTAAAATCAAGGGTATAGATGAGATTGTTTAGGATAATATAAGGTGTGAAGAGATCAAGGAGGAACTTTGAGGTTCTTACTAGCTTGGAAGTATTTCAGAAAGAATGTTGGGACGAAAAGAAGGCTTAGTAGAGAGTGCTGGGAACACCAGTATGGGGCTAGGCAAATGTAGGTTTACAGTTGTGGGTATGCAAAACACAGCTTATTATTGTATTATTACTTATTAATTATTGTATTATTTTCCATTGAACAACTGTGCATCTAAATTTGCCCCAATCTGTATTTCAGAGGAGGGTTGTAGAAAGTTGATATAGGGATATACCTGTGACCCCTTTTTTAACGTACAGTTCTTCAGTTCTGTCCCTGATGGTCAATTGAAGACAGAAAGAGGTAATAGAAAAATTTGATCTGTTGTCTCCTTCATTGTCTTCTTACTCTCTATTTACAGATATAAAGTAGAATTGTAAGAATGAAATAACTTTAGTATAGCTTTCTTCATCAATGCTAAAACACTCAGTTCCTGCTGTTATCAGTTATACTTTTTAAATTTACATTCAAATACTCAAGAAATTCAATTACTCTTTTTTAAAAGATTTTATTTTATTTTTTAGAGAAAGGTAAAGTGAGGGAGAAATAGAGGGAGAGAAAGGGAGAGAAACATTAGTCAGTTGCCTTCTGCATGCCCCAAACTGGGGGCCTGGCTTGGAACCCAGGCATGTACCCTGACTGGGAATTGAACCTGTGACTTCTTGTCTCACAGGCTGGCACTCAATACACAGAGCTACACCAGCCAGAGCAGAAATTAAATTACTCTTTTAAAAATATATATGTCATAGCTAATAAACCAAGATATTATTCTTACTTAAGTTTTTGTTAAAGTGTTTTAAGCTAAACTTTAAAATCAACATAAGAAACCTGAGAGATTATATAAATTTCCTAGGGCTGCAGTAAGAAACAACTACAAAATGGTGGCTTACAACAAAGTTATGTTTATATTTGTGGAGGCCAGAAATCTGAATCAAGATGTTAATTCAGGACTGTGCTCCTTCTAAAGTCCTGTCTTAATCTCTTTAAGCTTCTAGTAGCTCCAGGAGTTCCTTGGTGTGTGCAGATAACTCCAGTCTCAGCATCTTTCCTCACATGTCTGTCTTCTCTCTGTCTCTGATTTTTCTTCTGTGTTTTACAGTGCCACTCAACACTAAATCCCGGGAATGTTCTCATTCCAGAATCTTTTAGTTATATCTGTAAAGACAATTTTTTCAAGTTAAGTTACAGTTTCAGGGGTTAAAATTTGAACATACCACATACTGCAAAGGTAAACATTACTTTATTGTGAGCACTATAAAAAAATTGAGGTACGTTGACATGTGGATTTTAAAAATTTTTATCTCTGGAATTTTTAATGTAAATTAATTGTTTTTTCATTAGGAAATATGCAAAAGCTGAAACGCTCATGACAGTTACTGATTCTGTCCATGATACTGCATTTGCTCCAAACTTGGGAAGGTCTTACCACATTCTAGCCATAGCAACCAAAGATGTGAGGATTTTTACATTAAAGCCTGTGAGGTGAGTTTTCAAAGCAATTACTAATGTGAAAGTGTTCTTAACTCTTGATTATTTTCATGTGTGGGGAAGAGTGTAGAGGCTATTGTGATCTGAAGGATGGATTCTTTAATGAACATTTCATGTATAAATATATGACTTTGGGGGATGAGGAACTGAGTAAAGAGATTTATATTTTCTTTTTTTAATTTTAATTTTTTAATTGTTATTGTTGTTCTATTACAGTTGTCCCAATTTTCCCCCATTGTTCTCCCCTGTCCTACACTATCTTAATTATGTTTTATTCATGCTGGTACTAACAATGAATTAGAACCTCTGAATATACTTGGTACTCTATAAATGATTAAGTGAATGAGAGATGACAGACCAAGGAAAATTAAATTAGCACTGAGACATTGTCGTGAATAACCTTTTAGCTTTAATTTCAGAATTGTTTCATTTCTTTTTTTCATTCCTTTTTCTTCCTTTCTTTTCTCCTTCTTCTTACTGCTTTTTGTTTACAATGAATCATCATCTATTTTATTCCTGTACTTTGGGGGAATAAAATCCTCTTCCATTTTATCTTTCTTCTATGAAATAGTCACTCATTATCTTTTATGTGGTAGGATCCCACCAGGTACTGGGGAGTCAGTTGAACATAACAGCCCATTGAGCTAATGGGGGTAGGGTATGGGTATGCACAGTACTATAAAATAATATGGTATGTAGGTGAAACCATATATTTTTGTTTGTTTAGGTAGGTCTTCTGGTGTGTGTGTGTGTGTGTGTGTGTGTGTGTGTGTGTTTGAACCTTTTCCAAGAATTCCTCAGGAACAATTTTTTGTTAACAGGAAAGAACTTACGTCTTCTGGTGGGCCAACAAAATTTGAAATTCATATAGTGGCTCAGTTTGATAATCATAATTCTCAGGTATGGCGAGTGAGTTGGAATATAACAGGAACAGTACTAGCATCTTCAGGCGATGATGGATGTGTAAGATTATGGAAAGGTGAGGTTTCAATGAAGGATTATTGCTTTATGTTGCTGCTTTTAAATTTTCACTTAGAAATGCAAACTCTGAACATTTAGAAAAAAATCTTTCCACGGTTAATTTTAAATTATGTCATATTAATTTGTTATTTTGAACCTTCCCATCAGTTTTCCCTATTTCATTGCAGTTAATGACTAATTGAATTGTTTAAGTTTCCATGTGGAACCAAGCAACTTTAAAAACTAAAAATAATTGTAACAGAATATGCAGTATATTCAAGATACTGTTTGCTGTATGTGTAACATGCAAGCTCAGGATAGGAGTAGAGTCACCTCTTCTATTAAACAATTGCTTTGGTGAATCAGCTATTAATAGGAGAAAATCCAGTCTCTTCCTCAATTCCCCTCTGCAGAAATTCAGGACTTCCAAATTCATATCTGAAAAATTCAAGAATTTTGAGGCCATCGGTTCTAAAGTTTTCTTGTAAATGCCATGCTGAAAGAGACTCTGGTCTGGGTAGGCAAACTGTGGTTGTTGTAGTGTGGTCTATACTTTTACATGGATATTTATCCGTTGGGCAGAGGTGCCCTTTGTGGACCACTGTATTTAGTGGTTTCCCATGCCTTGGGTCCAAAATTATAGCTTAGCTTGTTTAACTCAAACAATGAGCTTTTTCCAAAGTACAGTTTGACTAAGTCAGTTTTAGGCTGTGGTAGAAGCAGCCCAGACTTCCCTTTCTTCAGTGTAATTTGATTTCACAGGCAATTGCTGACCTTTCCTGCCTATGGGCTTTAGTGAGATCACCCAGCTTCATGCCAGTAGGGCTCCCTACCTTGGGTTTCCTGGGGCTCATTGTCTCCTCTGGCCATGTTTGCATTTGAAGACTTAGGTGTTGGATGAGTCACTCAAACCTGAAGGTTTTGTTTCCTACATCCATCTCTGAGGACCTCAGGTACCCACGTGACTTATACTTGCATAACCAAGAAAACAAGTACAATACCCTACATATACAAAGAATTTCTCTTGATATTAAGTTAATGTAAAATGTTGCAGCTTAGAGAATTACCTCCAAAGAAGGGAAATGGGTGCTGAAAGTTTTATTTTTATTTTATTTTTATTTATTGTTTTATTTTATTTATTTATTTTAAAGATTTTATTTATTTATCCTTAGAGGGAAATGGAAGGAGAGAAGGAGAGAAACATCAATGTATGGTTGTCTCTCGTGAGTCCCCTGCTGGGAACTGGCCTGCAACCTGGCATGTGCCCTGACTGGGAACCAAACCCTGATCATGTGGTTCGCAGGCCTGCGCTCAATCCACTGAGCTACACCAGCAAGGGCTGAAAGCTTTATTTTTAAATTAGTAATTCTTTTAAGACTTTACAAAATAATCGTTAAAATTAAGACATGTTTAAAAAATATATAAATGTTTTATATATATTTATAAAGATATATTTAAGGTATTTATAAAAATATCTTAAACATTTATTTTGAGAGAAGTGGAGCCTGTAGGGCACTTTAATTGTGATTTAATTGTTTATTTGTTTAATTATAATATAAGGACATGAACATTGGTTTGTGCCCTTGAACATAGGTATTAGTCATGTTAATGTATTTGACTGTTTTCCTTTCAGCTAATTATATGGACAATTGGAAGTGTACTGGTATTTTGAAAGGTAATGGGAGCCCCGTCAATGGGAGTTCTCAGCAGGGAAATACAAATCCTTCCCTAGGTTCAAATATCTCAAATCTTCCAAATTCATTAAATGGATCCTCTGCTGGCAGGTAGGTTGTTTATGGAAAAACTAGAAATTCTCTTCTTTTTAAATTATTCTGGTATCCGTATTAAAGTGTGTTATTTAATGGACTATAAGATTGAAGTAAAAAATTCACTCACAGAAAAAATTCATATTGTTGACTATATTTGGTTTAGTCGTGATATTTAACAGGTAGGTAGTGAGGCCATTAAACAAACAAAATTATATTCTCAAGTTTAGATGAAGAGGAACTATGGGATGGATAAAAGTGAGGAGGTTAGTTGTAGATTATTAGTGTGTTAGTAGTGCTGGCAGTGTAGCCTTTGACTTGGGTCAAACTGAAAGTTTAAATAAAATACATTAAGGCTTTATAAAAGAGAGTAAGTTAATATTTTTATTTGTTTAAAACTTTAATGGAGATTGTAAGAAAAAGTGGTAAATTCTGGGTACTTGATTTTTTAGAATTTTTAATGTTTTAATTTTTATTTATGTTAAGAATGTTTAATATGATCTAAAGAGTCATATTATTTTAATATTCAAATTTAAATGTGAATTTGTATTCACATCAAGAACATCAAATTATTTAATGTTCTTTATGGAATATTCAGGAAAATTCAAAGCACAGCCTTAAAAACTGTCCTGTGGTTATTCAGTTGTCTTCTTAAATAAAAGAAGATAATTGTATTTAAATTTTTCTCAACTATTTTTATATAGTTGTACTTTTATAAAGAAGTCCTGCTATTTGATTTTGAGGTTTAAGTATTTGCAAGAAAACAGTTTCAGGTTACAGTAGAAGTTACCAGATTATAAAGATGACTCCATGAAGTAAAGGATACTAGTGTAAATTTAAAGAAAAGCAAAATCTGGTTTTTGATTGTTGCCTGTACTGCATATTTTCTGTTGTAAAGAACTTTGAAGTTTTGATCTGTATTCTTACTGTGTTAATAACCATGTGTGTTGGATCTGTGATGCATTTTCTCTTCATTTGTATTATGTCCTTTAACAGAAAACACAGCTGAGTACCAGCTAACTGGAGTAACTTTGCTGTTTTGCTGCTTGTTGCATGCATACGGGAATGGAAAGTGAGCTTCTTTTTCCCTATCCCAGCATCATTTGACCTCTCCCAAGACACACCAGCAGCCTGCTTACTACTAAATGCAATCCAAAGGCTCTTAAAAATACAGTATATATCTTTCCTTTGTATTAGCCAGGTTATTGACACTATTTGAAACTTTTGAAATACTAATGGAGAGGCTTTTTGTTGAGACACTATCACCAAAACTCTTTTGAAATGTTTCCGAAACTAACATGGGTTTTAAAATGAAAAGAATTATTGCCATCCTTACAAGTATTTGGGAGGAGGGGAAATACTACTTTATTTGGAGAATATAGGCTTATTTCTTCTGCTTTCTAAAACAGTTAAGATAAAATGATGAACATGGATAATTTTAATTTGGAGATTGAATAAATATTTTTCATGAAGGTTGCTTTGAGTGTTAATTTGTTTACCTTTTGTAGAATTAGTGTGTACATGATATTATTCAGTACAACTCTGTCATTTCTTTGTAACATTTTAAAAATATTAGTAAAGGGGAAAAAAGTACCATATTTTTTGGACCATAAGATGCACCTAGGTTTTAGAGGAGGAAAATAGGAAAAAAATTCTGAAGCAAAATTGTGGTAAAATATTTAATAACATAAATAACAATCTTTCACCAGTATAAATGTAAACAGAACTCAACAGCAGCACTAACAATTACTCCTCCCAAATGAGGGGAATGTGTTTTATAGTCCGAAAAATATGGTAGTAGTAAAATGAAAAAACTGCACAGTTTGTAGCCAAATTAAACATTTGGTATTGCTTCATTAAAAATTTGGTAGTAAAATGAAAACATCTTTGTAAGTTTTTGATTCCTATTTGCTAGAGATTAACATTTTTAATATGCGTTTGTATATTTTTATGGTGTGATTTGATGGTTTAAAGTTCACTTCAAAATTTGGAAATGTACTATAAGAGAAACAGCACAATTTTGCTGAAATTGTGCATGAACATCTTCTATATTCTTTGTCCCAGAATTTTCTTAGTTGGCCGCTTCATGTAGTTCATACTCTATAGAAATGTGACCTTGATGACAAGGCTATAAATCTTTGTTGGCTAAATTAATGCACATAAGTATTATTGATTAGTTACAAAATGGCAGAATAATGACAATAGCACATATTCATTGAGCCCTTTTAGTTATCAAAATTTTGTGCTAATAAGGTTTTTCAGAAAAACAACTAAAAATATTCAGAGATATTAGTTCTTTGAAAGTAAAAGTATATTTGGTTTTCAGTATCATGTTTGAATTTTAATAAAATGCGTGCCTGTGTGCATTAAACAAATGAAGCATTGTTTAAAATAAAGAAAAAGCTTATTAGATTTTTAAATTTACAGAATAGCATCGAATGTTTCTGAGAGGTTAGAAAATGTTAAATTACAAAATTTATGTCTTCTGTACATTCATGCTGATAATTTTTTTTTGACGTTTTAAGTTGAACAGATTAGAGTTTATTCTTTAAAATTTCTATACTTAGGCAAGTTTGGTTTTTAGTAAGGGTCTTGATTTTTGCTATTATGTTCTATTAGTTTTGGCATGAATATACTAAAGGTTTTTTTTTAGTGTGTGTTTTATCCTGTTTGGTTCTCTTTGTATTTACCACTTCTCTTCTTTTTTTTCTTTTTTCTTTTTCTGTTGTTTTGGTGTTTTCTTCCTGTCTTCATTCTTTCAGGTATTTCTTTCCCCTTCTGGATTCCCCACGAGCTGGATCAAGATGGTCCAGTTATGCCCACCTCCTTCCTCCTCCTCCTCTTCCTCTTGTTGTAGAGCAGTCTTGTGATGTTAACACTGCCAACCTCCAGTATCCTCACCCTTGCAGGCAATCTCTGTCTCAGAATCTTAATCTGTTACCTGAGAATGAAGGGATTTAAAACACTAACTTAAAACTTAAAGGTCTTTTTCAAGTGCTTAGGGTACTTTTATTCCTGGCTGCTTTTTGTTTTTCTACAATTTTCTTTCAGAAAATTTTTCTAATTTAGGATCTGTCTTACATGTACCCATATTAAAATTGGAACACAGTGTTTAGCACTTAAACATGTTTTTGCTTCTGCATCAAAGGGACATTATTTTCATTGGTTGATAATCTTTGATGAAAAGAGATATGTACAAGTAATGTTTAACTGTGATTCACCCAGTAGCTGATTTCATAATGTCTGTACATTTTATTTTGAACTGTTGTTACATGATGTTAAGTTTCTAATGGTTCGGCATACTGGTTAATGTGAAAGCATATCATTATAAAGTTCAATTTGCCTTTGAGACATATTAAGAGATGTTTTTAATTTCACAGGCTAATATTGAAACTGATCAGTTTGTAAAATAAATCATTCCTGTCTATAAAGCAGCAAAATATAATATAGACTGGTTGGTCTTTATTTTAAACAAAGTAACTTGTTTTTACTGCTTGGAATTACTGTTTAAAGCTTTTGTAATTATTCTTTGAGTAGATTATTTAATAAAATATATTTTAAAAGCTGTGAATCTGTTGCCTTATAAAAATGTACTCTGTTTGACAGTTGGTAAAGCTTATATCTCCTTAAAATACGTTGCTAAAAAATAGAATCCAAATAATCAAAAATTAGGGGGTGGGTGTGACATTTATTTAACAGGTAGAAAGGCACTACTATGTAGACTAGCATGTACAACTGACAATTTTCAATCTAATTAGACAAATTATTTTTTCTCATATTTTATTTTTTTATTGAATTTACTGGGGTGACATTGCTTAATAAAATTTTATAGGTGTCAGGGGTTAGATTATTTTCTAAATTCATATTTTTAAATTTAAACAGTGTACTTTATTATGGTAAATGAAATATATGGGTCTAGTAATATTCCTTTAGGTTCATTTTTTCACAGGAATCATTAAAGATTTAACTTCTTTAGGGCTAGAGAAAGATGTAATTTGAGCATTTCAAATGTGACTCGGTTAATCACACATAGATGATATAATAGTTATAACAATATAATTTATTATTTAATTTTCAAAGACACCTTTCCTGTGAATAGCATCATATCCCTAGAGCTTAACATGCAAAGGATAAATAGCTGATAAGATACATGAGGTCTGTCTGGGAAAAGTCCAGTTATTGTTAATATAATGAGAACAGTTTGTACGACATCGGTGTAATCTGGTGGCCAATGAGACTGAGCTAGTATGTGCATGTGTGAACAAAGATGACTTCACTATACTAGCCAGTGGGGGTGGATGCCATTGAGTAAGCATGGTACTGTGTGGCTATTGCATTCAGAATGACTGAGCAAGTAGAGCAATGAATCTGCATCAAATTTTGCATTAAGCTTGGACATTCCTCCACAGAAACTATTCGGGTGATTTAGAAGGCCACAGCAATGGCCAGCTGGTGACTGGCAGCTTCACCACAACAACGCATCTGCTCATCATCATGTCTGGTGCAGAGTTTTTTGGTGAAACATCAAATTACTAAGTGACTCAGCCCCCTACAGCCCAGATGTTGTGCCCTGCAACTTCTAGCACTTCCCAAAACTAAAATCACCTTTGAAAGGGAACAGATTTCAGACCATCGATGAGATTCAGAAAGATACCATGGGCAGCTGATGGCAGCTGGTAGAAATGTGTGAGGTCTCAAGGTGCCTACTTTAGAGGGGACTGAGGTGTCATTGTCCTATGTACAGTGTTTCTTGTATCTTAGATCTTTTTCAGTAATTGTCTCTATTTTTCATAGTACGTGGCTGGTCACCTTCTGGACTGATCTTGTAATGTATTTTATTTTTAAGTACATTTGAGTTTTGTGTATAATCATTAAAATGTTTTGTTAGTAAAGTTAGCACTTTAGCATTACAATGTAAGAAAAATAATCCTTTATAATAATTCCCAAAGGTCTTCCTTTTGTTGAAGGACTTGTTTTAGACCTGTAGATGGGTTTAGGTTCAAAGCAAGGGGTCTTACTTAAGGCTGGGTCTGGCTCAGAATCATATCTTCTGATTTCAATCATAGAAGTTCCAGGGTTTAGAATGGGATAATGAATTGAGACAGATTCGCACTGCAACTTAATGAATATTGTGTATCTTCTATGTCCAAGATACTTGCTAAAGATTGGAATATGTAAAAATGCCTTTCTATTTTTTATAAGAAGGTAATCTGCACACAAACTGTAATTCTAGTGGGAGAAGACATTTACAGGATTAACAAAAGCTAAAGAGGATTCAACTTTTTAATGAAAGGTTGAGACAGTATAGTAGGCATAAAAGAAAGCGACTTTAGCTGGCAGGATTTTGAAGGGATGTGGGATTTCAAGAGTCAGAGTAATGAATGAGAACAGAGGATAGGAGTTCCAGGATGATGGCTTATGAGGTGAAAGAGGACAAGGGTGTTTTCAGGCAAGAGAAGGAAAGAGTAAGGTTCATTTGGGGAATTCATGGGAGATTAATGTGGAATCATATCTTGTCATGTTAGTAGGCTTTGGATGTTTGCTGAAGTGAAGAGTTACCACTTGGGAGCATTTGGCAAGGGGAGCCATCGGAGAAGTCTGCCTTTTCTTAACTGGATAGGCATCACTTCCAATTCCCTGGAAGACACAGTTAACTATTCAGCTTTTGTAAACTCAATGTCCAAGGAGATTTAGAATGCTCTTGGGTGCTACTCTTCCATTTGAGTTGGCAAATGAGGTTAGATAATACCGAATATTTGTTGAGTACCTCCATGTGCCTCCATGTGCTATTGCTCTTTTAGATACCTTATGCAAATTAATTGATTTAATTCTGACAACAAACCTCTAAGTCAGGTGCTTGAATTATCCCCATTTTATATATCAATGGGCAGAGGCAAATCATCTGCCCAAAGCTGCACAGCTAGAAAGTGAGAGCCAGGATTGAGATCTAGGCAGTATGGCATCAGAGTCTAGGCTTTTCTGCTTGCAGATTACTTTGGATTGTAGAGCCCTGTCACTAGAGTCTTGCTGGGTGTTGTGGCAAGAGCTTTGGTAACTTGATTTTTATGGGGGAAGGACATTTACTGAGTTGGGTACAAGGGCTAGAGTCTGGAACATAGAGACACATTCCAGTAGTTCATCTCCAACATATAACCATGCTATAGAGGAGTTAAAATACCCTGTGAAACAAAGGTGGTTTGTTATACTCAAATAGCATCCTTTCAGTTCTAGAGCTGAGTATTTTTCAGGATTCAGAACATCTTGACATTTTCTCCACTTGTCTTTCTTCATTGAATATGGAGAAAGGTAGAATAGGGGTAATTAATTACACTTTGTAAATGATAAGCAGGGAGGTTTCAAGAAGAGATGTTGAGAACTGGAAACACTACCGTCGTCAAGAAGCCAGATCTGACCAATTAAAACAAATGTTGGAGTAGTGCACAGGACCAACCTGATAACATGAAAAAAGCCAATACAGTGTGAAAGTAGAGGCAGTTAAGGGTAGGAGAGACAGAATGGTCTTTAGGTGATAAAACAAGGAAGGGTGGTTTGTGGTTGAGATGGAGAGAGCATTTCTAAAGGCAGAGAAGAACCAACCAAGAGGGTATCTAGGAATGATGGTTGAGTAACATTTTAGAGGTGGTAGAGTGATCAAATAAACATGCTTTCCCCCCACCAGGCTAAAATTAGGATTTAAATTCAAATATGCCTTTTCTTTTTTTCCCTTCCCAAATGCACCATACATCTTAACTGTTGAATGAATGGCATTAAGGACTTAACTTTGGAAAAGAGACTACCTCTGAGACTGGAAGTTTTGAGATAAAAGAAATGAAAGGTGTGAAATTGAATTACTTATATGGTTTCAGTGACATAGTAACTAGTTAAGGCCTTGTGCTGAGCAGATTGTCGGCGATGTGCCCTCTAAAGAGGCAAGGAAAACGTAGGCTTAATTAGGGATGAACTATGTCTCATAGCCTCACCTTTCCACACCAGGCCAATAAATACGCCATTTTGTAGCTAGATATGAAGCTTGGATCCCCAGGAATGATTTCCTAATTGGAGCCTGTTAGCATTGGGTAACGTGGGCAAATCGTGAGATTTCAGCATCTGCGGAATGGTTATGGATACAAAAGATCTGCGTCAGTTCATTGAGTAAGCACGAACAAGTGGCAACGATACTGAACTCGAAGTAGTATCCAGTTATCACCAGAAATATTTCTGTGTATAAGTTGGGTAACGTTGGTTAGGCTTCCCAAACTGAATCTTGTAGGCATTACTTTCAAATTGGCTTAAGTCTCTCAACGGGCCGCTTCCGGTTTCATTAGAATAAGAAAGCAGCCTGAGGCACTGGTGAGTTCCTCCCGTGCTGCTGAGCGCGCTTCCCTGATTCAAATCTTGAGCGCGCTGTCCTCTTCCAATCGTTGGAGTTAGCACCTGCACAGTCCCTCCGCGCTGTCCAATCCAAAGCCGCCCCTGATTCTGTGCTCTCCGTTCCTGTCGCAAACAGACGTAAATCTGAGGGACTCCCTACGGCCAGTTCGGGCGGTGGCTAGTGCCGAGGGAACGCGCAGGCGTACTTGCAGCACCTTGAGACGCCTCTTTTTCTAACTTTACACGGCTTCCTGAAGTAAAGGTTGAGGGCTTGGTGAGGGGGATCGGGCTTCTGTGTCTTGACGTGAGGTTGGGCAGGAGGCAGTCAAATACAGTTCTGGACGGCGATCGGCTGCGCGGACAGCGGGGCAGGGACGGTTTGGGAGAGGTTGGGAATGGGGCGCAGACTTCCGGGTGGAGGCTGTGGTGAGCCTACTTTGGGCCGCTCAGTTCAATCATTAAAGCGGTCGGGTCGCCACAATTGAATTTCGCTCATTGAGTTTAATTGGACGCCATCGTGTCTGACATTCACGGGTCTGAGATTCTTAGCCAAGCACTAGAGAGCGGCTTTGAAAGAAACGGGCTTTGATTTTATGGGGATCACGCCCCGCGTTCCTCAAGGTGATTAACAAACGCGCCTTGCGCCTTGCTCTTGTTGCTTCGTGTGTGTGATGGGCGGTTCTGTTTCTCCTTTTTCTAAGACTTTGACCCAGGAAATTACATAGCTAAATGTAGAGGGGGTCTGCTAGACAGGTGTCCCTCATTATTCACTTCTGTTTTGATTTCTGCTAAGCCACACTTACCTACATTTCTTGTATCTGATTTCATTATGAATAAAACGTGAAATAAGTCAGTGCTTAATGTCATTCTGTTTTTGCCATTTCTTTATTTCAGACTTTGTTGAGTAAAATACCCCCTTTGGAGGTAGTCGTTTGGAGGACAGCTCTTTTTATGACCGAGTTTCCATTTGCTGTTAACCACTTTGAAATTATTCGATTGGAGTTTTTACTGCGCCCAGATCAGCTCCCTTTTCAAATTGCTGTTTTGTGGATAAAATTTGCAGTAAGTTTTGAAAATACACTTAATTCCTACATAATTATAAGATATATCATAAAATGCCATGGTTAGATATTGGATATTTGGGAAGTGTGACTGTCTTTTTTCCACAGCACATGCTTTTTAAATGTGTTCAATTGTAAAGGTAGCCCTACCATAAATGATGTTTTATATATCCGGAAGTGTAATTAAAACAACTAAATATTAATGAACTCAAATGCAAAATTTTGAGGTTACCACTTTAAGGAAATAGCAAGAGAAATCTCAAAGATGGCTGCTTAGTTCAAGTATTAAAAGGAAAGATAACATGATATTGATTACACTTTAAGTGATGGAGAAGGGGTGAGTAGTGCAATATAGAGGGAAGTCAGGAAATTTTCCTTTTAGGGAAGCTTTAGGAAGGTGATATTTCTACTGATGGTGTAGAACAAGTGTAGTCCTTCCTTGAAATGATAGAATACATCTTAAGGAATCTTACACTAGGTTGTGTTACTTTATTAAAAATATATTTTATTTATTATGCTATTACAGTTGTCCCATTTCCCCCCTTCATGCCCCTCCACCCTGCACACTCCCCACCCACATTCCCCCTCTTTAGTTCATGACTATGTGTCATAAGTTCTTTAGCTTCTACATTTCCCACACTACTCTTGCCCTCCCCCTGTCTATTTTCTCCCTACCATCTATGCTACTTATTCTCTGTACCTTTTCCCCCCTCTCTGCTCCTTTCACTCCCCTGTTGATAACCTTCCATGTGATCTCCATTTCTGTGGTTCTGTTCCTGTTCTAGTTGTTTGCTTGGTTTGCTTTTGATTTAGATGTGGTTGTTAATAACTCTGAGTTTGATGTCTTTTTACTGTTCAGGTTGTTCATATTTTTTATTTTCTTTTTCATAGATAAGTCCCTTTAACATTTCATATAATAAGGGCTTGGTGATGATGAACTCCTTTAACTTGACTTTATCTTAGAAGCTCTTTATCTGCCCTTTCATTCTAAATGAAAACTTTGCTGGATAGAGCAATCTTGGGTGTAGGTCCTTGCCTTTCATGACTTGGAATACTTCTTTCCAGCCCCTTCTTGTCTGGAAAATCTCTTTTGAGAAATCAGCTGACAGTCTGATGGGAACTCCTTTGTAAGTGACTGTCCCCTTATATCTTTGCTGCTTCTAGGATTCTCTCCTTCATTTTAATCTTGACTAATGTAATGACGATGTGCCTTGGTGTGTTCCTCCTTTGGTCCACCTTTGGGATTCTCTGAGCTTCCTGGACTTCCTGGAAGTCTATTTCCTTTGCCAGATTGGGGAAATTCTCCTTTATTATTTGTTCCAATAAGTTCTCCACTTGTTGATCTTCCTTTTCCCCTTCTGGTTCCCCTATAATTCCGATATTGGAACATTAAAGATGTTCTGGAGGTTCCTAAGTCTCTCCTAATTTTTTGAATTCTTGTTTCTTCATTCTTTTCTGTTTGGTTATTTTTTTCCTTCTGGCCTACTCCATTGATTTGAGTCCCAGTTTCCTTTCCATCACTATGGTTCCCTGTACATTTCCCTTCATTTCACTGTAGCCTTCATTTGTTCCTCTAATTTGTGACCAAAATCAACCAATTCTGTGAGCATCCTGATCACCAGTGCTTTGAACTGTGCCTCTGATAGGTTGGCTATCTCTTGGTCGCTTAAAAGTATTGGCTGTGGGGCTTTGAATTGTTCTTGTATTTGAGCTTTCTTTTTGGTCTGGTCACACCTGTTATGTAGCAAGGGGTGGAACCTTAGGTGTTCACCAGGGCTGGGAAACCCAGTCCCTGGGTTGTAACGCTGTATGTGGGGGCAGGGTCAGAGAGGGAACAATGGCGCTTGCTCTGCTCTCTGAGATTTCAGTCCCCTTTGCCGCTTCCCACAAGCAAACTGGGCCTTTCTTGTGCTGGTTCCTGGGTGGGTGGGCTTGTGTATGTCTAGGACCCTGTGGGTCTCTCCAGTAAACTCTCCTGTGAGGCTGGGACCCTCTCCTGGCAACTCAGCCACCACAAGTGTTTTCAATTGGTGCTTTTAGGCTTTATTTTCTGGTGTTGGGGCCCTGGGTTGTGAGGTCTGTCTCACTGCCTGTTTTCACCTGGTCTATTGGCTTGCGAATGTGTGACTGTGGTCAACCAGCCACCTTGTGCGCCTCACTGGGTCTCCTTGTTGCCTCCTCGAGTCTGAGGTCTGCCAGCCACCACTTTTTCCTGCCTGGACCCTTCTCTGCTGGCTACCGACTGCCCCTCTTACCAGTCTGGATGAATGGTTGTCGGACTTCCATACAGTTCAATTTTCTGTCTGTTGGTTGTTTTTTTTGTTTCTAAATTTTTGTTGTCTTTAACTTTCGTTGTGCAAGGAGGCACAGTGTGTCCACCTACTCCTTCATCTTGGCTGGATGTCCAGGTGTGTTACTCTTGCAAGCATAGCAAAGCTCTGTCCAACCACTTAATGCTGTATCATAATTGATAGGGATTGTCAGCAACCTGAAGGGAGCTGCCTTATTTATTTTAGCATTTCTGGTGCCCAGTAGAGTGTCTTTCATGATTTGTGTTTGATAATGATTGTTGAATGAATGATCTTTGCTTAATACATAAATTTTCTTAGATTTGACTCCTAACAGGAATAACCCTTAAAAAGTTTTGTATGTGAATGCAGTTTTTATATCTGTAAATAAATAGCAGAGTAATTACAAGTCTAGACATGGGACGGCTAGTTGGAAGACTCATGGAATGATTTAGATTAAAAGGTAATGAGTGCCTTGACTTGTGTGGCTCAGTTGTTTGGAGCATTGTCCTGTAACCAGAGGATTGTGGGTTCAATTCCTGGTTAAGGCACATACCTAGGTTGTGGGTTTGGTCCTGGTCCAGACATGTACAATCCCTGAGTAGGGTGTGTACGATCCCTGGTACTGGCACGTATGGAAGGTAGTTGATCAATGTTTCTCTTTCTCCCTTTCTGTCTCTGAAAAAATGAAAAATAAAGACATGCCCTCAGGTGAGGATTAAAACAAAATAGTGATGGGTGACAGGTGTTGGGAATATGTAAATGGGTCTTAGCTTTAGAGATATATTTGGACTTAGAAGCATTATAATTTGGTAACAGAGCAGAAAGGATCAGATGGTCCCAGGTATCTGTCTAGCATGTATAGCAAGAGAATATGGATAATATATATCAAAACTAACGATAATAGGAAGAGTGTTGGGGGGGAGGGTGATCTAGTTTTATATATTTTGGCTTTGCAGTACTTGGGAGGTAGTCAGAGTTAAGATAGATGTCAAAGAGCCACTTGGAAATAGAGGTGTCAGTTTTAGAATAGAGGAGGTCTGTGCTGAGGTGATTTAAAGTTGAGTGAGATGGCATTAGTGCAGAAGGAAGAATACTCCGGAGCCAGACTTGTCTGGGTGTGAATCCTCTCCTCCTATATGCACTGTGTGGCTGCCCTGGAAATGTCTCTTAAGCCCCTTTTTTGGCCTCAGCTTCTTCAATAGTAGGGAAAATGACTACCTTGCAATTCTGGTGGAGGAATTAGAGAAATGTATGTATCGGGTTGGCCAAAAAGCTTATTTAATTTTATTCAGCACCATGGTTCTAGTAATGCTTAGCTCTCTTTAACTTCATTTGAAACAATTTGTTAGACTGAATTGTTACGGCTGTCTTATCAGCATGCATTTAAAAAATTTATCAAAATTGATGAATTTTTGTGCAACCATTTTAGTATTGAAGGTGGAAGAAATATGCAACATTTTTTGGTGTTATTATGCTTTATTATTTCCAGAAAGGTAAAAACACAAGAAATGCAATAAAAGATTTGTGCAGTGTATGGAGAAGGTACTGTGGCTAATTGAATGTGTCACAAATGGTTTGCAAACTTTCTTGGTACTAGTGAAATTTTGGCCAAATAATTCTTTGCTCTGGGGCTGTCTTATAAATTGGAAGATGTTTAGCAGCACCCCTGGCCTCTATCCACTAGAAGCCAATAGAGAGAGATAGCCGACATAACTAGAAATATCCAAATTAAAAAAGTTATTGGTGAGAATGAAAAACTGTTTCCTTTTTTTAATGGAGGAAATCATACGGACTTTTGTCCCAACCCCATACATTTCATGACAAGATCTGAAATCAGAATCCTGGCTATCCCTAATATAAGAGGAAGAGGTGTATAAGTAGTAATTTTGGATTTTTCTAAGACTCTTAGCTGTGAATGGAAGGTGAGAATTGGTGGCAGGAAGTGCAAATGAAAGATGGAAGACGTCTGATCATGTTTATAGAAATCAAGAAGAGGAAATAGAAATATTCAAGAGGAAAATGCTGGGGCATTATTTGAGAGGAGCGTACTTACATGATAGTTAGTGGTAAATTTCCTGTGTGTTGACATAGTTTGAAAACATTCATTTAACAAACTTACTGAGGGTCTACTCTGTGCAAAGCACTGCCCTGGATAGGAATTCAATCATGAAACAGGGCGAATCCCTGCCCTCCAGGACTTAATATTCTAATAGAGGGGGAAATAGTTAAACAGGTAAATTATACAGGGTGGGGCAAAGGTAGGTTTACAGTTGTGAGTACATGAAAAACAGAGTTTATTCTTGTATTATTTATTGGTTGTTGTGTTATTTTCCATGTAATTGTAAACCTACCTTTGCCCTCGCTATATAGCATGCCAGATGGTACTGAATATTACAGAAAAAAGAAAACAGGGCAAGGAAATTGTAGTGCATTGCTTAGACTATATAGATATCTGAGGGAAGACCTGACAGGTAAGTAGGCATTTATACCAAGACCTGAAAGAAGTGGAAAAGCAAGATGCGAATATATCTGGGGTATCAGTATGCTGGGCAGAGGTAAGAGTAAGGGCAAAGGCTCTGAAAGCAGGAGCTTTAATATGTTTTGGTGACAACAGGGAGGATAGGATGGCAGAAAGGGAATGAAGAAGAGAGAAGAGTAGTAGGAGACAAAGAGATTATCCTGTCTCCATTGGTCATTATAAGGACTAACATTACTCTAGATGGGAAACCCGTGGAGGGTTTCGAGCTAAAGAGTGAAAGTACTTGATTTACCTTAGCAGCAGGGATGTTCAACATTTTGGCATTTCTGAGCCGTACATTAAATACACAAACAGTAACCAAAAACTGATGAGCAGCAAAAGGTTTTAAATAAATTTACAATTTTGTGTTGGGCCACATTCATGGCCATCCTGGGCTGTGTGTAGCCTGTGGGCTGCAGGTTGGTCACCCTTGTCAGGGATAACTTTAGTGTGGGGTGAATAGACTAGGGGAGGAAGACTAGAGGTATGGAGATGGAAGGCTGTCATAGTGAGTATTCAGGCAGGAGGTTGTGGTGGCTTGACCAAGGTGGCAGCAGTGGAAGTAGTAAGAAATGGCAGGTTCTGGTTATATTGTTACAGCATGACGATTATCATTTCTTTAACAAGCTTATTGATTTTAGAGGTGGGGAGGAGAGAGAGAGAAACATTGATTTGTTCCACTTTTTTATGTAATCATTGATTGCTTCTTGTATGTGCCCGCAACCTTGGTGTATCAGGATGACACTCTAACCAACTGAGCTACCTGACCAGGGCCATTGTCATTTGTTTAGAGATTGCATATGGGGGTGTGTGAATATGAGAGAGAGGAGTCAGTAATGACTAAAGTTTTGGGGTTGAGCAACTAGAGAATGGAGCAACTAGAGAAAGGTCGCAGGTTTGATCCCCAGTCAGGGCACATACCTAGATTGTGGGTTCAATCCCAGATTGGGCACATGTGGGAGGCATCTGATTGATGTTTATCTCTCTCCCTCTCTCTAAAATCAATAAACCTCTCCTCAGGTGAGGATTTTTTTTTTTTTTTTAAAAAGTGAGTCTCATTTTGCTTTTTGGGGAAGATTGGAGATTAGAATTTTTTTGAGGAGGTTGGAATGAAATGTAGTCAAGATCTAAGTTTAGGTGCCTGTTAGATATCTAAGTTAAAATATCAAGTAGGTAGTTGAATATCTGAGGTTTAGGAGAGAGGCCCAGGCCATGTCACTGCATTGGTGAGAGGGGTTGGGATCAAGTACAAACAGGAGAGTTGGGTTTCTGACAGGAGCATGGATACTTCTAAGTTTTTTAGCTCTCTAGTGGTCTTAAAACTTTTTCTATTTTGTAATTAAATTAGTTCATACTACTGAAAATCTATACTTCAGTGCATTTTTCATTGACCCTGGCACAGCCCTTCCTTTTTGTCTGTCTTACCAATTGTGGTAGCTCTTTGAATACCCTTTCAGATTTGAAGCCCTCTCCCTACTGTAGGTTGATGAGATAGTCCTTTTCCTGGGCTGCAACATACATGTCAGACTTCCTAATATACAACTTAAGGCTTTTAGGATCTGGCTCCATGGTTTCATTTATTGTGTTATATTATATGCCCTTTGCCAAAATACACTGATGCACTTGCTGTTGCTACCACACTCTAATAACAAATAGTTATTAGAGTGGATTTTGGAGTCACTCCTGGATTTAAATGTTACTAATTGTACAGTCTTGGCTAAATACTAGTTAAATTTAGTGTCGGAGTTTTATTCTTTATTTGTCAATGAGGATCAATGACTTGAGGTAGTAGGTATGCAGTACATTTTAATTTCCTTCCTCCTTTGCTTGTGTTTATCTGTCATCTTTAAAAGCCCCCATTAGCCCTGGCTGGTGTAGCTCAGTGGATTGAGCAAGGGCCTGCGGACCAAACAACTGTGGTTCGATTCCCAGTCAGGGCACGTGCCTGGGTTGCAGGCCAGTTCCCAGCGGGGGCCAATTCCCAGCAGGGGACGCATGAGACTCAACCATACATTGATATTTCTCTCCCTCTCTCCTTCCCTTCCCCTCTAAAGACAAATAAATAAAATCTTAAAAGCCCCTGTATCTTCAAGGTAAAACACCAATACCCTCTCATTTATTAAGCCTTTTCTAATGTATTGATTTTCTTTACTGAAGTCCACATAGCCCTTGTAAGCACTCTGACATACTTTTGAGATTGAGTAATATCTCCTCTGAGTACTGTGTTAGGGTCCAGTTGAACCAGTTGGCTAATATGGGTCAGTAATATAGGTTCTTTGCCATTGTTTTCTAGACTTAGTTTTTTATATACCACTTTTACCATTTGCCTTGTCCATGTGTCAAATATGCTTTAATTTAAAATTTTTCTTTAAGTGGACTCACTCTTTAAACTGTTTGCTTATCCTTAACAATAATCTCTGAAATCAAGAGCTATATTTTGCTGGTTCTTTTTTTTATTTCCTATTCCATGTTAGAATGGGTACCCTTCTAGTACACTCTTAAGTATATCCTAAAGTCATCTGTGTGCCATCAATGTTGTCCCTTCTTTGCTTCTTTACTGGATCAGTTTGTGATAATTCCTGTTTTTCGCTATAGCAGTCTAAGAGTAAGTTAAGCTGTGTTGTATTTCACTATTATGTTAATATAGTTTGATTTTTATATTCTCAGCTATAAAGTAGCAAAGTATTCTGAGAGTTACTTTAGCTCAGAATGTATCTCTTCTTAGTGCTCTTTCCAAATTATGATTTTTTCCCTATGATTTATTATACTTGTACTCCTATTTGCTGAAGTTTTATAGTAATATTTGATTTATAGAAACTTTTATTGTTGCAGTGAGATGGAAGATTTTCGAGGTATAGCTGACGAGTCATTTCCAAGCTTTTTAACCAATTCATTACTTGGTAACAGTGGGATTTTGGAAAATGTCACGTTTTCTTCAAATCTTGGCTTGCCTGTTGCTGTTTCAACACTTGCTAGAAATAGAGCCAGCACTGATAATAGGTAAGAATTGTTTGAGCAGATGATTGTTTTTTCAGGTCCAGAAACCATCCAATATACTGGTACGCCTGTAAAATTTCTCAGTCAAGCTTGAGTTTTTGCTTTATCTGAGGGAGATGGTCACAGTGATGGAAAATTAATATGGAAAAAGATGAAATCTTATTGTCTCTTTCCCAATGACATTGCCTTATCAGTAGTGAATGGGTGAATTTGGGATTGAGTACCAGTGACCTTTGGTCTAGTAATTATTTTTTCTATCCATAGTGTTTTGACTTTGTATTAGTACAGCCTTAATGGTAGCTAGTAATTTGAGTTAAATATGGTATGTACAATTTGCCCATGCTTAAATATCTAACCGCTTTTCTGTCTTCCCAACATAACATTTGGTAAAGAGCATTTTGTTTACCTTTGGAATGAAGAGGCTAGATTAACCCTGTAAAATTCTTTTAGCTTTAAGATGTCTGAGACTCTTGTTTAATACATACATGCCCCATTGCTGATCCATATCTGATTTGCACATAGGATGATGGTTTTGAACATTGAGGCTCAATTTGTTTTATCACCTGGTTGGTTTCATAATCAGTATGGCTTATGTCACAGTGAATTTTAAATGTACATAATTTAATTAAAAACAGTTTTGTTTTGTTTTTGTGTGTGTGTGTGTGTATAGGTATTCTGATATCCAGGCATCTTATTTAGGAGAAGGGAGGTTTTCAGTTCCATCTGAGTCATCTCCCAGTAGCCAGAGTGAAGCTGAACCAAGAGCAAAGTTACAGCTTAGCTTCCAGGATGATGAGTAAGTTTGTACCTCCATGTTGCTTTTACTGTATTAAAAGTGAGTCTCAGCCCTGGCTGGGTGGCTCAGTTGGTTGGAGTGTTGTCCTTATACACCAAAAGGTCGCAGGTTTGATCCCCAGTCAGGGCACATAATCTAGATTGTGGGTTCAATCCCAGATTGGGCACATGTGGGAGGCATCTGATTGATGTTTATCTCTCTCCCTTCCTTTCTCTAAAATCAATAAACCTCTCCTCAGGTGAGGATTTTTTTTTTTTAAAAAGTGAGTCTCAGTCTTGTAGAAAATGAAAGTCCATTGTGTCTCACTTTCTTCTATATAAATATTTATATTAAACACAAACACTTAAGTCTTTTAAAACACTTTTTCTGATTCTAGTAGTAATGTATGCTCATTGAATAAAGAAAATACAGAGGAAAGAGAGTAGCTGTTGATTACATTTTTTATGTATGGTCTTCCAGACTTTTTTCTTTTTCTTTTTTCCCAGATATTTCAGTGTTCATGGGTGTGTGTGTGTGTGTGTGTGTGTGTATACATACCTATATATTTTTTTAATAAAAGAAGATTAAACTGTACATACTGATTATAACCTTAAAAAAGTTAATACATTGTACTCATCTTTCAGTTACATTGTGTATTTGTATCATAATATTAACTGCTGTACATGTTAGGCATTTAATTATTGGAATTTTGCTGTTATATATTTAATGAACTTCTTTATACATAAATACTCCATACCTTACAGATTATTTTACTTATTAAATTAAATTTCTAGGACTGAAATTGCTGAGTTAAGTATTTAAAGACTGTTAGAAATTGCCACATTGCTCTTAAGAACATTTATGCCAATTTATAATCCCACTAGAAGATAAGTGAGAATGCCTCCTTTTATGAGCTATCCCCTATATTTGGTAGTACTGTTTTTAATCTTTGATTTTAGAAGCAAAAAAGTTTATACACATGCATAAATGCATATTTAAAAGTCCGGAAGTCTGTACAGCAAAATATAAATATAATAAATCAATATCTATTGATATTACATATAATTTTAAAGTTTTCTGTGTGTTAATTTATAATTGAGTATTTGTGGATCAAGCATACTTTTTTCATTTTTTAATCCTCAACTGAGGACATGTTCATTGATTCCAGAGAGAGAGGAAGGAAGAAACACTGGTGTGAGAAACAGCTATCAGTTGCCTTCCTCAAACCTGCAACCTAGGTATGTGCCTTGACTGGGTATTGAACTGGCAACCAACTGAGCCACCCAGCCAGGGTTGGATCAAACATACTTGAATGTTTATTCATTATTTTTATTTGTGTTGTGGCTGGCCTCTTGATAACATTTAGATATAAGCCCTTTCTACATATCAAAGATGTCAAGTCTATCTGTATGCATCCATTCATTGTGTATTCCTGGTAAGTGCCTATTATGTGCCAGATACTTCTCCAGGTATTTAGAAATTACTCGTGAACAAGACCAACTTTAAGAAAAACATTAAAATATACCAACTTTATAGCATTTTATTAGAAGGGAAAAGTGGCAGAAAAATAGAATATGTTAAGGAGGGTTATTAGGAAGGGAAGGGAGTGGTCAGTGTGAGTCTCATTGAGAAGGTTTAAGATAATGAAGTTCAAAGGACATCATGAAGTCAGTTTCACTGAAGTGATATTGGTGATAAGACTGTGCGTGGGGGGAGGCAAGGGTAATATTGGAAGTAACTACCTGACACTCTTTGGAGATGAGGAGGTCTGGGGAAGTGGTCTTTTTGACCTCTGTTGATGGAAGTTAGTCTTAATGAAGTGAAGTCCTAGATGTATTGTGTTGGCCTCATTTTCAACTCCTAGATTGGGTTTCTCCTCTTCCCCACTCACTAAATTTTAATCGACATCAATTCAGAGATTTCTGTGCTTTATTCTAGATTATTAATACTTGGGCAATTTCCTATTTTTATCTCTTTCTGATCCTATTTTGGACTACTTGGATTGATCTGTTTCCATTGTTTTTTCCTTTTTTTATTTTAAAGAAAAGACAGTTTTGTAGATTAAGTTGCTAATTTTTTCTATCCCTCTATTAAATCATAGGCAGTCATAATTTTGAGAGCTTTTTTCCCTGGTTTCTCATTTTTTATAAGGGCTCCTTTTTGTGGATGCAATAGCTACTTGAGTGTTTCTGAAGTTTGTAAATGAATTTTTTCAAAGTTCTATAAATTATTCCTTGTCTCTGGGGTTATTTGTTCATCTTTATTTTTTCCTCTCTTGAGATGCTCCTCCTCCAAATGTATCTGATTGTGGCTGTCTTTTTTTCTTTTAATTAAATTTAAAAATATATTTATTCATTTTAGAGAGAGAAAAAGGGAGAGAGAAAGAGAGAAACACCGATGCGAATCACATTGATTGGTTGCCTCCCATACATGCCCTGTCTGGGGGTTGCACCTGCAGCCATTTGGTGTGTGGGTCAGTTGATTTTCTGTCAACTGACCCACACCATCCAGGGCAGTAGCTGTCTTCTAGGCTGCTAGTGTAGACATGCTCAGCTGTCAGGTGTCATTTTTGTTAGGTCTCTATGTGAGTAGGGCAGCACTCCTGGCAGGCTTCACATTAGGGTGAACTGGCTGTGGTGGGGGTGGGGAGCATGTTTCACGCTACGGGTTTAATGCTTTGTTCTGGGCCTCTGTTACCATCATAGCTTTATTCTGCACAGGTGTTTTTGTATGCTTTGTCTGGAGAAGAACCTTTTCCCCAGGTGTTCAGTGTTATGTTGACACCGTCATTTTGTTTGTGTGGGTTGAGAAGCAGGAGTGGAGTACTGCCTGACAAAGGTGGTCTTGACAGATTTTCAGTCAATCCCTCTCTGCTGCTCTCACTTCCACCCTCCTTCTGACTAGTCAGGAGATATTACTGAGGTTCTTCCAGGAAGATTTGTTTTCTGCTGCTGGATGCTTTGTTTTTATCCTGGACCACAGCTTTCTTTTCCCCTGAATCTCCCATCTGCTTTTCTCAAGCAGAATCAGAGGTAAGGTTGGGCTAGGATTGGTGGATCTTATCTAGATTGCTTCACTTATAGCTGTCCTTACTGGTATTTTAATGGATCCCTGGAGGTTTGACAACTTTACTGGAAGCTTACGACTTAATTTGATAAATTTTGATGGGCTAATAAAAACAAGGGATAGGTGTAGGTTTGAAGAAGATTTTAGGAGTGGTAGTAGTTAGAGTGCCCTTAACTATCTCTGTTATGCTAAAGTTCTCATGGTCACACTACATGCTTTTCTCAAGGGAGGGCTTTAAAATACAAAAATTAACCAGAATGTCCTGACTTGTTTTTTATTTTTTATATTTCATGTCACTGTCTTACTCCCACTACTTTTTCTTTTTATCTTCTCTCTCATATTACTTTGTATCCATTTATATGCTTTCTGCCTACCCATCCCTTCTTTTATCAGCTCTGTTTGATTGGGGTGAAACTTTCCTATACTGGCCTATGAATGCACCATTGGATTAAGCTAGTGGCTTTTAATTTCAGCCCCAATAAAGAGGTGGAGAAACTGGGAAATAAATTAGAGTTGTGGAGTTGCTATAGGCACAAAGGGTTAGAATTTGGAACATATGGAAGGGCTACTTTATTTTCATCCACCCTGGCAGACCTAAGCTTGGCCCTAGATATTAGTTAGTCGGATGATAAATTTGTTCAATTTAGAGGCTTTTTCCTACGGTTCCATCCTTACCCCTCCTCCTATTGGTGAAATGACTCTGTGAGCTGTGACAGACCCAGGAGCTTTTGCTGCAGTAGATTGGGAGGAAAACTGCCTTTAAGGAAAAACATTTTCATCTAGACATAAAACAACAGTTGTAGATAGAAAAATGAAGACAAGAACAGTGTCAGGGGCTAACAATAAAACTTTTAAAGCATTTAGTAATTCAGGTAATTAGCTATTTGGCAAGTCTAGCAGTATCCTTTGAGTCTCTTGTTTTTAGAAAGCTGACTTTCTCTCTAGATATGATAGATTCAGACATCCTTATTTGGGAAAGAAAAAACCCTCATCACTTGAGAGGCATAGTAACAGTGTGATAATGTATTTGGTTTTGGTAGACTGTCTGTCACTGGACACAAAATGATGGCGCAGTTCCTAGGAATACCCACAGTATGACCAGTTGTAATTTCTGGCTGGTCCTAGAAGTGTTTCTTTTCATTGTATTTACTTTTTTGTGAGATAAAATGCATAACTGATTAATTGATGTTTTATAGATTTACCCAAGGTGACTAACATTTCATGATCAATCTGTTCCTTAATTTAAAAAGTTCTGTCTCTAGGAGAAAGAACCACATAGAAAGTCAACATTTGTCGGATACTGTCCTCAAAGAGTCGACTTTTCCCAGCGATATAGCAAAAACAGAAGAGAAGGAGACTAAAACTGCAGAGTCCTTTCAGAGTCAAGATCCTTGTGTTAGGATTTTACCACTGGAACAAGTACAAGGTCCTGAAGTATAAGAAATTATTTTTTAATGTATATATTTTATTTTCCTTTCTCATTTCTCTGACTTTGGACTGGTATTTATCTTAAGCTATAACTTAACAGTTATATTTTAAGCTGTTAACTGAAAATGCTTTGGTTTGATAGTTACCTATTAATATTATGTTTATAATCCTTTATAGGAAAAGGTCTTTTAAAATCAGTTTCTTAATTGTCTTTACTGATTAAGCTGAAATCTCCTTTCCTTTGGAAATCACACTGATAGCCATAGCACACTTTATGTTCAAGACAAGGAGGCTGATTTTAATATACCTTTTACATTTTTCTTTACTAATTAATTTATATTCTTCTTAACAGTCATTTTTGTCCCTAAACTTATTTTTATAAGAATTATAAATTCTAAAAATATTTTTTCTAAGATAACAAAATTGAACACTTTGAATTATATGAAAGATTGCTTCCAATTAGATCTGAGGGAGAAACTACAAAAATGTGGGGAAAATTGTACAGGGCTTCTCCTGTCAGATTGCTTTTAAGTATTCTATATTCTCTTTTTCAAAGAAATAAAGACTAGAATATGAAAAGTATGTATATGCTTACATAACAAAGATACCGTGTAACTTCAACCTGATTCAGTATTCAAAAGGCCTTGCTTGGGCTGTATTATAGGATTGATGAATGAATGTACATTTACGTATTTATGTTAAAAAATTGAAGGATGTTTGTATTTCTCTTTATGGAAAATGTCAAATATGTATGAAAGTAGAATTCTGTTAACTCCTCACATTCATAAGCAAAGAAGAAAAAGTAGATAAATTAGACTTCATCAAATTGAACTTTTGTGCTTCAAAAGACACTATTCAAGACAGTGAAAAGGCAACCATAATTCAGGAGGAATATATGAAAATCTTATATACGGTAAGAGACTAGCATTCAAATACATATAAAGAAGTCTTACAACTAATACAAAGACAACCCAATACTGTGTGTAATGGGCAAAGCATTTCAATAAACATTTCGGTAAAGAAGTTGTAGCCCTGGCTGGTGTGGCTCAGTGGATTGAGCAATGACCTGTGAACCAAAGGGTTGCTGGTTTTATTCCTAGTCAGGACACATACCTGGGTTGTGACCTAAGCTGTACCCCCAGAAGCGGGGTACATGAGAAGCAACCACACACTGATGTTTCTCTCCTTTTTCTCCTTTCCTTCCCCTCTCTCTAAAAATAAATAAATAAATATATATTTTTAAAGTTGTACAGATGACCAGTAAACATGAAGAGATGCTCAGCATCTTTAGTCATCAGGAATATGCAAATCAAAATCATGAGATACCATTTTGCACTTACTAGAATAGCTATAATAAAAAAGACGGGCAATAGCAAGTGTTGGTGAGGGTATGGAGAAATTGAAATCCTTTTCCATTGCTGGTAGGAATATAAAATAGTATAGCTGCTGTGAAAATACTGGATTGGCCAAAAAGTCCATTTAATTTTTTCTGTAAAATAGAAGACAAATTTTTAATTTTTCACCAATAATTTTTTTATTTGGATATTTCTAGTTATGTCGACTATCTCCCTCTATTGGCTTCTAGTGGGTAGAGGCCAGGGTTGCTGCTAAACATCTTCCAATGCCTAAGACAGCCCCAGAGCAATAGTAATGTCAATAGTAATCAAGAAAGTTCACTAATGACATGTGACACGTCAGTCAGCCACAGCACCTTCTCTACACTGCAAAAATCTTTTGCATCTGTTGCATTTTTTTACCTTTTTTGAGATGATAAGCATAATATATTAAAAATGTATCTCTTCCATCTTCAGTATTAAAATGACTGTAAAAATTCACCAGCCGTCACCATACAATCTAACAAAATTGTTTCAAATGAAGTTAAAGACAGCCAAGTTCTACTAGAGCCATTGTATGAACTTTTTGGCCAATCCGATAGTTAGACAATTTTTTCAAATGTAAAACACAGCATTACAATGTTTGTGATTCAGGAATTCTAGTCCTAAGTGTATACCCAATGGAAATGAAAATATATGTCCATACAAAAACTTTAACATGACTATTCATAGCAGCATTAGTCACAATGACCAAAAAGTGGAAACCACCTAAATGTCCATTAAATGATGAGTGTATAAACAAAATAGTCTATGTCCATATAATGAGTAGTATTCAGCCATAAAAAGGAGTGAAGTATTAACAAGTACTCTATCGTGGATTAATCTTGGAAACATTAAGCTAAGTGAAAGAAGACAGACACAAAGGGTCACATTTTGTAGATTTCTATTTATCCATAGGTAAATGTGTGGATACATAATAGGGAAATTGATAGAGAATGCAGATTAGTGGTGTCTAGAGTCTGGGGGAAGGGAGAATGGGGAGTGACTATTGATGGGTATAGTGTTTTTCCAGAGTAATGACACTATTTTAGAATTAGATTAAATATGGTTGCACAACCTTGTGAATATACTAAGAACATTAAATTTTACACTTTCAGAGGGTGATTTTATGATCTGTAGATTTTATATCAGTTAAAAACTTCTACATACCTATCCCACAGTTTCATTTACTATAAGATTTTGTCATGTTTGATTCATCTCTTCTGGTTTTTTATTACTTTTTTTCTTATATTACTTAAAAATTTTAAACATTTTGTTCCTACATATTTCAGTGTACATCTCTGAAAATATGGACATTTTCTTCCATACCGACATGCTATCAAGACTGCTAACAAACTTAATTTTTTTTGTTATCACATAATACTCTAGTTCATATCCAATTTACTAATCTGTTTATTTGGTTGAATTTGGGTTCAAGAAAGGTTATATTATGGTACATTTGTTGTTATGTCTCAAGTCAGTGCCTTGTTGAGATAGGCTAGGTCAGTCACCCTATAGATTGCCCCAGTATTTGGATTCTGTTGCTTACTCATGGGTGTCATTTTTCTTGCTTCTCTCTTCCCCATGTCGTCTAAAGCAAAAGCTAAATTTAAATGTTGCTTAGATTCATATTAAATTATTTGGGCATGTGTATAATTTTTTTTTAAGATTTTATTTATTTTCAGAGAGGGGAAGGTAGGAAGAAAGTGAGGTAGAGAAACATGAATGCGTGAGAAACGTCAATTGGTTGCCTTTCACATGCCCTCCAGCTGGTGACCTAGCCCACAACCTAGCCCTGACCGGGAGTCAAAGTGGCAACCTTTTGGTTCGAATCTGGTGCTCATTCCACTGAGCCACACCAGCCAGGGCTAATTTTGTACACTTCCCATTCTAATAGTTTTCTAACTTAACTGACCAATGGTGGCTTCCAGAGCATCATTTATATGTGCTGTGGTCTATTTAAAGGGAAAAGTGTTTAATAGTTTGATATTTTTAGATGCTGTTGGCTATTTGGTTGATAAAATAACTTGGTCTTTCACTTTTTGTTTTTGCTTTTTTAAATAGACTCATCTGTTGGTTTTCGTTTACAATCATGGATGAATAATAAGGAGAACAAGGTAACTTTATATGTTTGTTACCAATTTCTGGAGTTATTAGGAGAGTGAAAGTTCCTATTTCACATGTAAATGCTAATTGGTACTGATAATAGAAGTCTTCTACTTGCGAATAGGAAAAATCCAAGGTTCTGCTTCAAGTAACTAGAAAGTGGAAAGTAGTGCTGGCCCAGGGACTGTATTTTTGGGCTTCTTGTGTCATCAGTTTTGGTTGCTGGTTGCTGGTTCCCTCTGCTTGCTGGTTCCCTCTAGGATGTTGGCTCCATGAGGGTAAGGAGTCCCCTTTGTTTTGTTTAGTGTCTACTGAGTGCATGGCACATAGTTGGCACATACTTAATAATTTGTTGAATGATAGGGAAGCTGTCTTTATTTGTAGACAACCCAAGCCCACACTCTTAACATCCATGATAAAAAAGAAGAGCATGATCTTTCTTTGGGATAAATTAAAAAAAAAATGGGAGACAACTCTAATGAGCTCACTTGTCTCATGTGTCTTTCCTTACGTAAATCACTGAGCCAAGAGGTGGGTTGAGGTAAAGCACTCTGATTTATGACATGGACCGTATGTTTACTTGTCTGTGTGTGTATGTGAGTATCAGTGTCTGTATGTGCACTGATAGAGCATATGACTGATAACCCTACCAGGACCACATGAAGCGAAAAGACGTGGGCTCCCCAAAGGTAGGGGTGTTAAGCACTTAAACAGTCAACTGGGATTTTAGGCCTACAGGGTCATATTTATATGACTTGTTTATAAAATATAAGCTAAGTACTTTTAAAGCTTATAAAGAAGTTGCAGTTTTTGTTTTATTGAAGAATTTTTAAGATAGTTTTTATATAATGATTATAAGAGTTCAGAAGTAAGAGTTATTTCCCTATGCCAGTTCTATTGGAACACAGCCACACTTACTTGTTTCTGTATTGTTCATGGCTCTTAACAGCTGAGTTGAAAAGTGTGACAGAAACTATGCTGGCAAAACCTGAAATATTTACTATTTGGCCCTTTACAGAAAATAGGTAAATTTGTTGACCTCTGCTCCATAAGCTTGCTCCTTGTATGTCACCACTAGTAAATTTGAAGTATGAGATATACTTTTTTAAAGATTTTATTTATCTTTAGAAGGGAAGGGAAGGAAAGAAGGAGAGAAATATCAGTGTATGGTTGCCTCTCGTGGGTCCCCTGCTGGGAACTGGCCTGTAACCCAGGCATGTGCCCTGACTTGAGAAATACTTTTGATAGGATGTTCAGGTGTAGTCAAACTGAAATTGAGCTAGAAAGCATGATTTCTTTGAACTTTAGAAAAATATGGTTTCTAAAGAGAGAACATAACTTTGTCCTTTGAGAAGTAATTTATTTGCTTAATGGTTGAAGAACTGGCTTCCTGAAAACATTAGAAATCATTGATAATAAAAGAGAGGGACCATAAAACTGGAAACCAGCAAAACAAGTATAGAAACATGAGATATTTAATAAAAGAGGTTGAAGTAGTTAACAGTTCTATAGTTCTAAAATTACATTTGGCCTTTTGAAAGCAACTGCGAGGCCGATGTGGCCCTCGGTGAAAATGAGTTTGATACCCCTGACTTAAACTGTAAGAACTACACCAGTTTAGCAGAATAAGGATGTTTTCTAGGGTCGCTCTAGTTCAGTGGGCCCATATGTAAGGTAACAAGCATGGCAGAGTAGATTGAGTTGTCAGTAGCATCCATATCCAAAAAAGGCAGAGGTGTTTTACATATTGATCTTCCTCATACAGATTTTTTCCTAATTTTTAATTATGAAATATTTCTACACATAGAGCCTATGTTCCACAACAGTAGCCTCTGGTCCCCCTGGTACCTTAGATCTTTATGAGCTCATGTGGTGTGTGTTATTGCAGCACTGCTGTTTACAAGTGTGCAGTTGCAGGGAGAGCCCATGTTTTTAATCTTAAAAATTGGTGTGCATTTTGCAATCTAATTCTGAAATTCATACCGTTTGATAAATAATATGATTGTGAAATAAAATTGACACTTAGAAGGAAATATTATATTGTATTCTGAGCCTGAGTGTACTTAGGGGTACATGGTCCCTGGGTTGAAGGACAGAGAAACCTTTTTCCATTGTAGGTTGCTGAGTCCAACTTTGCTATTATTTTCACTTCCTGTTACAAGCTTGTGTTGCTGAAATTTAGTTATATATTAGTTACCAACTATATTACTAGATCTTATGAACATGTGCATATTTTGAGATACTAAATTTTAAGGATGTGGGTCATGGGAGGAGGTGACAACGGGGTAGGAAAGAGGTACTTTTAGAATTATGTTTTATTGATTATGCTGTTAGAGTTGTCCTGATTTTTCCCACGTTAGCACACTCCACCCAGCACTCCCCACTTCCTCAGGCAATTCCCTCCACCATTGTTCATGTCCATGGGTCATGGGTATAGCTTCTTTGGCTACTCCATTTCCTATACTGTACTTTACATCCCCAGGGCTGTTCTGGAATAGCCTATTTGTACTTCTTTTTTTTTAAGAGATTTTTAAAAATTCTTATTTATTTATCTTTTGAAGGGAAGGAGAGAATGAGAGAAATATCAGTGTACGGTTGCTTCTGGTACATCCCCTGCTGGGAGCTGGCCTGCAACCCAGGCATGTGCCCTGACAGGGAATCGAACTGCAATCTTCTGGTTCGCAGGCCCGTAGCTCAATCCACTGAGCTACTCCAGCCAGGGCCTATTTGTACTTCTTCTTTTTTTTTTTTTAAATTTTTTTATTGATTATGCTGTTACAGTTGTTCTATTCCCCCTTTCATTCCCCTCCACCCTACTCCCCCATCCCCACCATTACCCCCCCCTTTAGTTTATGACCATGTGTCTCAATTCCTTTAGATTCTATATTTCCCATGCTATTCTTGCCCCCCCCTTCTATTTTCTATCTACTGTCTATGCTACTTATTTTCTGTACCTTCTCCCCCCTTCTCCTCCTCCCACTCCCCTGTTGCTAACCCTCCTTGAGATCTTCATTTCTATGTTTCCACTCCTGATCTAGCTGTCCTTTTAGTTTACTTTTATTTTAGGTGTGGTTGTTAATAACTGTGAGTTTGTTGTCCTTTCACTGTTCATGTTTCTTTAACTTCTTTTTTCTTAGATAAGTCCCTTTAACATTTCATATAATAAGGGCTTGGTGATGATGAACTCCTTGAATTTGACCTTATCTGAGAAGCACTTTATCTGTCCTTCCATTCTAAATGAAAGTTTTGCTGGATAGAGCAATCTTGGTTGTAGGTCTTTGGATTTCATGACTTGGAATACCTCTTTCCAGCCCCTTCTTGCCTGTAAGGTCTCTTTTGAGAAATCTGCTGACAGTCTGATGGGGACTCCTTTGTAGGTGACTGTCCCCTTAGCTCTTGCTGCTTCTAGGATTCTGTCCTTCATTTTAATTTTGGCTAATGTAATTATGATGTGCCTTGGTGTGTTCCTTCTTGGGTCCAACTTTTTTGGGACTCTCTGAGCTTCCTGGATTTCCTGGAAGTCTATTTCCTTTGCCAGATTGGGGAAATTCTCCTTTATTATTTGTTCAAATAAGTTTTCCACTGGTGGCTGTGCCTTTGCCCCTTCTGGTACCCCTATAATTCGGATGTTGGAGCGTTTAGAGATGTCCTGGAGGTTCCTAAGACTCTCCTCATTTCTTTGAATTCTTGCTTCTTCACTCTTTTCTGTTTGGCCATTATTTGCTTTCTTCTGGTCCACTCCATTGATTTGAGTCCCAGTTTCCTTTTCATTGCTCTTGGTGCCCTGTTCAATTCCATTCATTTCAATTAGTTTCGCCTTCATATATTTGTCTAATTTGTGGGTATAATCAACCAGTTCTGTGAGGATCCTGATGACCAGTGTTTTAAACTGTGCGTCTGTGAGTTTTGCTATTTCTTCATAGCTTAGATCTATAGGCTCTGGGGCTTTGAGATCTTGCGCCATTTTTGGTCTGTTCGTTCCCTTTAAGTGTGAGAAGCGGCGCCTTGGACTCCCAGGTCGCTGGGTTGTGATGCTGTATGTGGGGGCGTGGTCAGAGCGGGGGAAATGGCGGTACCCTCTGCTGTTTTGCACAGCTGGGTGAGGAGCAGCGCCTTAGGTGGTTCCCCTGGGCTGGGCCACTCAGAGTCGCTGGGTTATGATGCTGTATGTGGAGGTGGGGTCAGAGCAGGGAAATGGCGGCACTCTCCCTGCTGCTTGCCGCGGGAACCTGCTGGGTCCCGGTCCAACCGCCCACTCCCTCGCCTGTCCACCTGCGCACAAATGCGCGACCACAGTCAACACGCAGCCCCGCTCCCCCGCTGTCTCCTCCGCAGTCGCTCGCCTGGTCGCTCGCTCCATCGCTCACTAGGTCCAACCCTGCGCCTGGATTCCATGCATCTGAGTCCGTCTGACCGAGTCCTCCTGTGCAACCCCGTTTCACCAGCCGCTGGTTTCGCCCCTTACCAGTCAGGCTGAAGAATTTGTTGTTAACGGACTTCCGAAAAGTTCAATTTTCCGTGTTCTGGCTGTGTTTTCAGTTGCTAATATTTAGTTGTCTCTAAACTTGGTTGTGTGAGAAGGCACGGCACATCCACCTATGCCTCCATCTTGGCGGAAGTCCCTATTTGTACTTCTTAATCCTCTCACCTCTTTACCCATTCTCCTCCTCCTCCCTCCCATGTGGCAACCTTTCAGTAACTAACTTCTTTTCTCTTGGTTTTAGGATTCTCTTTTTATCTTTACCCTTTGGCCTTTTAATAATTATGTGTCTTGGAGTGGGCCTCTTTGCGTCCATCATAATTGGGACTCTCGGTGGTTCCTGGAGCTGCATGTCTATTTTCTTCCCCAAGTTAGGGAAGTTTTCTTTCCCTATTTTTTCAGATAGATTTCCAATTTCTTGCTCTTTCTCTTCTCCTTCTAGCATTCATAAGAGGTTAATGTTGGACCTCTTAAACTTGTCTTAAAGGTTATTTATACTATCCTCATTTTTGGGGGATTCTTTTTTCTTGTTCTTCTGCGTGGTTGCTTTTTTTTTTTTTTGGCTACTTGTGTTCCAGAGCATTGATTCGATTCTCAGCTTCACCCATTCTACTGTTTTTTCCCTGTTAATTGTCCTTTATTTGTTTTTTTTAAAAAGATTTTATTTATTTATCTTTAGAGGGGAAGGGAAGGAGAGAGGGAGAGAAATATCAATGTATGGTTGCCCCTTGTGCGTCCCCTGCTGGGAACTGGCCTTCAACCTGGGCATGTGCCTTGACTGGGAATTGAACTGTGGTTGTTTGGTTTACAGGCCCGTGCTCAATCCACTGAGCTACACCAGCCAGGGCAAATTGTTCTTTATTTCAATTGGTGTATCCTTTGCTTCTGAGTGAGTCTTTTTTATGCTGTTAAGGTACTCACTAAATTCCTTCCGCATCCTCATAACCAGTGTTTTGAATTCTGCATCCGATAGATTGCTTATCTCCATTTTATTTAGCTGTCTTTCTGGACTTTTGATCTGTTCTTTCATTTGGGCCATGTTTCTTTGTCCCTTTATTTTGGCATCCTCCATGTTTGTTTCTATGTATTAGATGGAGCGGCTTTGACTCCATGTCTTGGTAGTGTGGCCTAATGTAGTAGCTGTTCTGTAGGGTCCAGTGGCACAGTTTTCCCTATCACCCAAACTGGGTACTTGATGTGCAGTTTTCATGTGGGTTGAGTGTACTCTACCCTTGTAGTTGAGTCTTGGTTGCTGTTGGCAGGTCAATGGGAGGGATTTACTCAGGGCAGTCAGCTGCAAGCATTTACTGTGACCACTGTTGATCAACCTCTGCCCTCCATGGAGGATCATCTATGCAGGGGCAGTGTGGTGGTGCCCTAACATGGTCTGTACCTGTTCACTGGGTACATTGCATCCTGGGATTTCCTGGGTGGTATAGGCTCAGGTCCACCCCCACCTTGTGTTTTGCCTGAGCTGTAAAGCAATCTCAGATGACTGTTACTTATGCTGGACTAGGTGACTCCCTGTGGAAGCCAAGCTGTGACTCTACTCTGGCTGCCACTAGGTCTCACTGAGACCAGCTGTTGCTTGTTTAGTAGGATTAGGAGCCAAGACCAGCCATTCTTATGTTCTTATGGAAAAGCAGCCTGGATGGGCCTGTAAATTGAGTGGAGTAGAGCCTCTGTGGATCTCCAGGATGGGTCAGACACTGTTAGGCAGGTTGATGGAGTCCCAGATATGGCACCAGCCTACAGACTGTACAGGGGCAGGCTCAGCAAACAGACAATGTCCTCTGCTCGCCCTGATGCCAGAAACCTCAGTCTCTCCCTTAAAACCACTGCTGCCCTTCAAGCAGCCACCCCGGTCCTAGAGCTCAGAGGGAGTGAGTCTGAATAGGTAAGTCAATGTGTGGGTTCCCCACGAGGAACTGGTGAGGGCTCCTGCAGCCTCCTTCACTGATTTAATCCCCGCTGGTTTTTGTAACCAGAAGTTGTGGGGACTTGTCTTCTTGGCACTGGAATCCTGGGCTCTGGGGCTTGGTACGGGACTGGGACTCCTCAATTCCAAGCTGTGGGTCCTGAATTTTTATCCAGGTGTGTATGGGGCCAGCCCATTCTGCATCTGTGTCCTTCCTACCAGTCTTAATGGATGTGGTTTCCTCAATTCCATAGTTGTCAGACTTCCATTCAACTTGATTTCTCATGTTCCTGAGTTATGGTGGTTCTATATTTTAGTGTAATTTTGCTGTGGTTGTGCAAAGAGGTGAGCCATGTCTGCCTATGTTGCCATCTTTACTGGAATCCCCAGAAGAAAGTTAGTGCATGCAAAACAACTAGGCTTTCATTGCCTAAATTGTGAATTACAGATACTGAGCATATTGGCCGTCCTTTTTGCAGCCTTGTGCTATGGTGTTCAAAGCAGTGAATATACTTCTCTTACATGCGCTTTATTTCTTACAGATTGCTCATCATGATGCTGGAAAACATTTTGAAGATGAGAATCCAAACAATGACTTAAGCCATGCTAGTTTAATAGAAAATGAGAAACTTATGTCACTTACAAGCTTAGAAGATTCTTCTGGTACTGTAAAGTAATTTGTGTTTTCCTAGCCCTTACGTTGCTATTTCATGTCTCTCTGTTTCTTGATTGCAATAGTTTTTATGCCAGCTTTTTGTTTCTTTGCCTTCTCCTTTACTTCTTACTCACCAGCACTCAAATGGCCACTTTTGTTAAGTGATGGAATTTTAAAAATATTTTTATGTATCAATCCTGATACGCTTATCCGAGTTTATTATAATAAGGGTATGAAGTAGTAGCTCTAGGTTCACCACAGTGTAAAGCACTATGTTGAGAAATTGGGTGAACCATGAAATATTTAGTCTCTGCTTTCTAAAAGACCTGCCAAGTAAGAAAAGAGATGCATAGCTAAACATCCCATTGTGTTATGCATATCTCAACAGTATAACTTGTACGTAAACCATGGGAGGGTGAGTAATTCTGATTGGAGAAAATAACTGAAGCGTTACTGAAAGAGGGTACAGTTTTTCCTCTTGAGAAGGCCTGTGAAAGGCTTAATGTAGACATGGGAAGAGAAGTACATTACAGGAAGCAGGAACAACTTCAGCAAAAAGCACTATGGGGTAGAGGGCATATAGAACATGTTTGGGAAATAGCCAGTGGTTTTGTGTGACAGATTTACAGTACTTTTAGGAGTCTGAATTTGGGAATAATCCAGAAAAGTAGTCTGGGGTCAAATTATTCATGACTTTGAAGGCCAGGCCGATGGACTGAGTGGGATCAATAGAAACTAAATTCAGGACAGGTTTTGATGTGATAGTTTTTTAGATAATTTTGAATGGTGAAGTTGTGAATAAGGAATTGTCGACCTGAATTTATATAGATATTTGTTTTAGTAGGCTAGAGTCTTAGAGGTAAGTTAACTAAGTCAAATCTTGTGAGCATTTTTAAGGCTCTTAATGTTGATTGCAAGATTCTCTTGAAAAGGCAGTGATAACTTACAATACCATTACTAGGGAATAAGTGTTGTAGTTTCCTTTGTCCCTGCTGCCTGTTTGTTAAAATTAAAAAATATCACTGCTCCCGACCCCCCAAAAAAACAAAACCTAAAAATCAACACAAAACTACCAGTACTGTTTTATTTATTTATTTTCAACTTTCTGGTTTTGGTACAGGTTGAATATTTTTAATTATACCTATTAATGCTCAAAACTCTGATATGTTATTTTTTTCTTAATTTCTTCTTTCTCAGGATATCAGATATCGTTTGATGTTTCACTTTACAGTTACTGATTAATTCACCTTTTTAAACTTTTACGATGGGCTTGTCTATCCTTTTTTGATAGAGTTACCCATTCGCTGCCACTCCATCTTCATTTTCATTTTTTTAAATTATATTTTATTGATTATGTTATTACAGTTGTCTTGGTTTTTTTCCCTCTTTCTCCACTTCCACCCAGCACCCCTCACTCCTAACAGGCAGTCCTCCACCCATTGTTCACATCCATGGGTCATGTGTATAAGTTCTTTGACTACTCCGTGTCCTACACTGTGCTTTATATCCCCATGGCTATTCTGTAACTGCCAATTTGTACTTAACCCCCTCACCTCTTCACCCATTTTCCTCTCCCCACTCCCATGGGAACCATCTTGTAACTAACGTCTTTTTTCTTGGTGCTTTTAAGAGTCTCTCTTTATATTTTAACATATGTTAAAATATATGTTATATGTTAAAATATATGTTTATATGCTAAAATATAACATTTGACATGTTATATTTCATATGTAATATAACATTCCACTTCATTGGGCCACTTCATTTTCTGAATAATCCACCCTTTTCCCAATTATCTTTAATGCCATATTTATTATACCCTAACTTATGGTACATGCCAGGATTTATTTCTGTGTTGCCCTATCAAAGAAAGTTAAATATTTTATGAAGTCTGCCCGGAAAGTATCCAGCCATGTACTATGAAAAAGAGACATTTATTGAAGAAAATAAAAGACACAAGAAATATTGTACATAGGACAGTGATGTCACAGTCTCTTTAAAATTAAGCACCTTGGGACCTCAAGCAGTTCTCCCAGTCACCATTACTTGCCCCATTATATTTTCTTGAATCTCATCAATGGTCTGAAATATCCTCCCTTTCAAAGATAATTTTAATTTGGGGAAAAGCCAGCAGTTGCAGGGTGCCAAATCTGGGCTGTAGGGAGGCTGAGTTATCTGAGTGATTTGATGTTTTACCACAAAGCTCTGCATGAGATGTGATGCATGAGTGGGTGTGTTGTAATGAAGCTGCCAATCGCCAGTTGCCCAGTGCTGTGGCCTTCTGAATCATCAGAATAGTTTCCACAGAGGGATGTTCAAGCTTAAAGCAAAATTTGATGCAGGTTCATTGTATTTGCTTAGTCTCTTAAATGTAACAGTCACACAATATACAAGCTCACTCAGTGGCACCTGCTGCCCCCAATGACTAGTACAGTGAAGTTGTCATTGTTCACACATGCACATTCCAGTCCACTCTCCATGGTTGCGAGGTTATATCGATGTGTCACAAACTGTTCTTGTCATATTAACAAAGGCTGGACTTTTTCTGGACAGACCTTGTATAAACACACAATATAATATTATTGAGCCATAAAAAAAAGAATCAAATCTTGCCATAACAACATGGATGAACCTTAAGGGCATTGTGCTAAGTGAAATAAGTCATTCTGCAGAGGAAAAAGCAAAATTTGAATCAGATTTGTGGTTCTACTCAGTCATTTTGAATGCTATAGCTACACAGTACACATGCTCATTTATCAGCATCAACCACCGCCATTGACAAATACAGTGAAGTCATCATTGTTAATGCATGTGCATTCCAGTCCACTGTCTTTGGCTGCCAGGTTCTATTGATGTCACCCAAACTGTTCTTGTTATATTAATAATGGCTGGAATTTTTCGGACCAACCTTGTATATTGGAATGCTTATAATAATTCATAGACTGAAATTATAAGATTTTCATGTCAAATGTTAAAACAAATTCACATAAACCATTGACTTATATGTGTTATCAACCTTTGATTAAATTATAGTTAAATCAGTACTTTAAAGCCTGTTCTGTTTTTCCTCCATTTATTAATAGATGGTGATATTGATGATGAAGAGTTTTATGATGATCATTTGGAGGCTTATTTTGAGAAACTGGCAATTCCAGGAATGATATATGAAGACCAAGAAGGACAGAAACTTCCAGAAAAGAATTTTAAGTTACCTATAGGTGATTCTAGTGAGGTATGTTCCATTTGTTATGGGTTTTCAGAAATTCAGTGTTAGAAAGTTATTAATGGTCTCTTTGGATATTAACATAGAACTTAAGCTTTTGTTTTATTTGGACTCTTTTTCCTTTTTGTAAACTGATGATAAACACTTTTTCTGCCTTCTTTTACCTTTTCATTCACATACAGAAAAATTAGAAGAATAGTACACTGAACATCTGTAACATCCCATGTCTAGATTAACTGATTATTAATATTTTTGCCATTTTTGCATTTTCTTTGTTCCCCCATAAGTGCTTTATTCCTGAATCATTTGAAAGTAAGTTGCAGATATATGACATTTTACCTTTGTACTTCAGCATTTATCTCCTGTAAATAAGAATACTTTGCTATAAAATTTCAATTGTTATCTAACTTTGACACAGTAATTTAAAGTAATATACAGACTATATTCAAATTTACTTAGTTGTCTCCAAAATGTTTTTTATTTTTATTGTTTTCTGATCCAGATTTAATCAGAATTACACAGGCATTTGGTTGTCGTGTCTCTGTTCTTTCAGTTTGGTGTAGTCCTCTCAGGTCATTGAACTATTTGTTTATGTTCATCCAAGGACATGTTTATTGATTTTACACAGAGGGAAATGGAGGGAGAGAAACAAGATATTGGTTATATCTTGTATGACGTGTTCTGACTGAAGATCAAATCCTCAGCCTAGACATGTGCCCCGACTAGGCTCTAATCTATGACCTTTCAGTTATTGGAAGATGCTCCAACCAACTGAGCTACACTGGCCAGGGCCATTAATCTATTTTGTAAAATCTAGACCTGTTGTTTTGTAAAATGACCCAATTTTCCTTCTCCTGATTGCATGAAATTTGGAAAGAAGTCAAATTAAACATTTTATAAATAAACAGATTAAGATTTAATATGGGTGATGTTCTGTGCATATCATAGCATCACTCGAGATATTTAAGTCTGTTTGTCCCAATATTGGTGAAGCCGTGTCTGATTATCTTGGTTAATATGTTGGCCAGTATCTCCTTAGGAAGGTGCCTTTTCTCCCACTTTGTTGTAGTAAGTCATTGTGGATGAAGGTCAAGTGAACATTGTGATTCCTGAATGGTTCTTTATGAACTGGTTTTATTATCATTTCTGAGGCCTCCTAGAATTAATGTTTACATTGGTGATTACATTAACTATCTGGTATTCTATAAAGATGACATTTTCTGCTTCCCATATTTTACCCATAAAATGTTTTTAACTTTAAAAATTCATAAAGCTAAGATACTCTTTTAACAGGCAAACGAAAATGGTAGTTTAAACTGTAAATCTCAGTCAGAAAATAACAGCTGTCTGATTTCTCATGTGTCACACTCTTCAAGAAATTCTGAAACAACTCACAAAGAGTCTGAGGAAGGGCATGATTTTTGTCTACCTGGGATCAGTAAGTATTGATATAATTCCTTTGTTCTTAAATTCTACTTGACTTTGCATTTTTACAAAAATACTAATTTTTTTGGTATGATTTAATATGTATTAACCTTTTTGTGTTCCCCAAAATCCTGACAATTTAAAACTTTTCAGAGTGCTTTTTTTCCCACATTTACCATCGCCTCATGTTGTTGATTACTTTCTCTCATGCCAATTGCTATATTTGTCGTGTGAATGTTAAGTATTAGGTTTACATAAAATAAAATGAATAGCAAAAAAAGGTTATTACATTAGATTACTGAAACTGACTTTGCTTTATTATTATTTTTATATATTTTAGGTAATTCTATAGGTAATAGAAACAGTAGAAGGCATGATGGTGTGTTACCATTTTCCTCTAATACTTTGAGAATTGAAAAAGAGAAAAAAAGTGCAGAAAGTTCGAAGGGTAGTGTTTTGCATTGTGACAAAGTAAGTTTATTTGTATTTTCTTTAAATTTTTTATGCAAAGATACAGTCTTTGTATAATAGCATTTTTATTTATTTTTAAATAACTTTACTTTTTAAATAATTGACAAACAGTATAAGTTTCAGATGTACAACTGTGATTTGACATTTATATATACTATGAGTAATAACCCCAATAAATCTAGTACCCATCTAGCACCACATATACTTAAAACAGTATTTTTTTTAAATTTTTTATTGATTATGCTGTTACAGTTGTTCTATTCCCCCTTTCATTCCCCTCCACCCTACCCCCCATCACCACCATTACCCCCCCTTTAGTTTATGACCATGTGTCTCAATTCCTTTAGATTCTATATTTCCCATGCTATTCTTGCCCCCCCCATCTATTTTCTATCTACTGTCTATGCTACTTATTTTCTGTACCTTCTCCCCCCCTTCTCCTCCTCCCACTCCCCTGTTGCTAACCCTCCTTGAGATCTTCATTTCTATGTTTCCACTCCTGATCTAGCTGTCCTTTTAGTTTGCTTTTATTTTAGGTGTGGTTGTTAATAACTGTGAGTTTGTTGTCCTTTCACTGTTCATGTTTCTTTAACTTCTTTTTTCTTAGATAAGTCCCTTTAACATTTCATATAATAAGGGCTTGGTGATGATGAACTCCTTGAATTTGACCTTATCTGAGAAGCATTTTATCTGTCCTTCCATTCTAAATGAAAGTTTTGCTGGATAGAGCAAGCTTGGTTGTAGGTCTTTGGATTTCATGACTTGGAATACCTCTTTCCAGCCCCTTCTTGCCTGTAAGGTCTCTTTTGAGAAATCTGCTGACAGTCTGATGGGGACTCCTTTGTAGGTGACTGTCCCCTTATCTCTTGCTGCTTCTAGGATTCTGTCCTTCATTTTAATTTTGGCTAATGTAATTATGATGTGCCTTGGTGTGTTCCTTCTTGGGTCCAACTTCTTTGGGACTCTCTGAGCTTCCTGGATTTCTTGGAAGTCTATTTCCTTTGCCAGATTGGGGAAATTCTCCTTTATTATTTGTTCAAATAAGTTTTCCACTGGTGGCTGTGCCTTTCCCCCTTCTGGTACCCCTATAATTCGGATGTTGGAGCGTTTAGAGATGTCCTGGAGGTTCCTAAGACTCTCCTCATTTCTTTGAATTCTTGCTTCTTCACTCTTTTCTGTTTGGCTATTATTTGCTTTCTTCTGGTCCACTCCATTGATTTGAGTCCCAGTTTCCTTTTCATTGCTATTGGTGCCCTGTTCAATTCCATTCATTTCAATTAGTTTCGCCTTCATATATTTGTCTAATTTGTGGGTATAATCAACCAGTTCTGTGAGGATCCTGATGACCAGTGTTTTAAACTGTGTGTCTGAGAGTTTTGCTATTTCTTCATAGCTTAGATCTATGGGCTCTGGGGCTTTGAGATCTTCTTGCGCCATTTTTGGTCTGTTCTGGCCCTTTAAGTGTGAGAAGGGAGCCTTGGACTCCCAGGTCGCTGGGTTGTGATGCTGTATGTGGGGGCGTGGTCAGAGCGGGGAAATGGCGGCCCCCTCTGCTGTTTTGCACAGCTGGGTGAGGAGCAGCGCCTTAGGTGGTTCCCCTGGGCTGGGCCACTCAGTCGCTGGGTTATGACGCTGTATGTGGAGGTGGGGTCAGAGCAGGGAAATGGCGGCGCTCTCCCTGCTGCTTGCCGCGGGAACCTGCTGGGTCCGGGTCCAACCGCCCACTCCCTCGCCTGTCCACCTGCGCACAAATGCGCGACCACAGTCAACATGCAGCCCCGCTCCCCTGCTGTCTCCTCCGTGGTCGCTCGCTTGGTCACTCACTAGGTCCAACCCTGCGCCTGGATTCCGTGCACCTGAGTCCGTTTGACCGAGTCCTCCTGTGCAACCCCGTTTCACCAGCCGCTGGTTTCGCCCCTTACCAGTCAGGCTGAAGAATTTGTTGTTAACGGACTTCCGAAAAGTTCAATTTTCCGTGTTCTGGCTGTGTTTTCAGTTGCTAATATTTAGTTGTCTCTAAACTTGGTTGTGTGAGAAGGCACGGCACATCCACCTATGCCTCCATCTTGGCGGAAGTCTAAAACAATATTATTGAGTATATTCCTCATGCCATACTTTACATCCCCGTGGCTATTTTGTAACTACCAATTTATTCTTCTTAATCTATTCACCATTTCACTTCTCCCCATAACCCCCCATTATGCTGGCAACTGTCAAACTGTTCTCTGTGTCTATGAGTCTGTTCCTGTTTGGTTTGTTCCTTTATTTTGTTATTTAGATTGTGTATATAAGTGAAATCATATGGTATTTGTCTTTGTCTGACTTAACTCACTTCACATGATACCTTCCAGGTCCATTATGCTGTTGTAAATGGTAAGATTTCATTCTTTTTTATGGCTGAGTAATATTACATTATATATATCTACCACTTCTTTATCCATTTGTCTGTTGATGGCACTTAGGTTGCTTCCATGTCTTGGATATTATAAATAATGCTACAGTGGACATATGGGTGGATATTCCTGTTTGAATTAGTATTCTAAATTGTTTTGAATAAACACCCCAAAATGGAATTGGTGGGTCTCTTTGTCTCTTGTTGTATAGCCTTTGTTTTAAACTCCATTTTATAAGTGTTGTTGTACCAGATCTTTTTTTATTTCTATTTTCATGAAGTATCTTTTTCTATCCTTTTACTTTAAGTCTGTGTATGTCTTTTGATCTGAATTAAGTCTCAAGACAATATATGGTATGGGCATTGTTTTCTCATCCATTCAGCCATCCTGTGTCTTTTGATTAGGGTATTTAATATATTTGCATTTAAAGTAATTGTGGATAGATATGTACTTCTTGCCATTTTATTGCTCATAGTTTTGGTGGTTTGTTTCTTCAAAAGGATGCTTTAACATATCTTGTAATACTGGTTTGGTGGTGATGAAGTCCTTTAGGTTTTTTCTTGTCTGGGAAGATCTGTTCTTTGATTCTAAATGAGAGCTTTGCTAGGTGTAATAATCTTGGTTGTGGGTCTTTCCTTTTCATCACTGAATATTTCTTGCCAATTTCTTTTGGCCTGAGAAGTTTCTGTTGAGAAATCAGCTGACAATCTTACGAAAGCTCCCTTGTAGGTAACTAACTGCTTTTCTCTTGCAGTTTTAAGATTCTTTGTATGTCTTTAACCTTTTGCATATTAATTATGATGTGTCTTGGTGTGGGTTTCTTTGGGTTCATTTTGTTTGGAACTTTGCATTTCCTGGAATTGTATGTCTGTTTCCTTCACCGGGATAGGACACTTTTTCATCACTACTTTTTTTAATAGTTTTTTAATTCCTTGCTTTCACTTTTCTCCTTCTAGCACCCCCCATGATATGAATGTTGGTATACTTGAGGTTGTCCTAGAGGCTTCTTAATACTATTCTCATTATGTTGGTTTCTTGTTTTTTGATGTTCTGATTGGGTGTTTTCTGCTTTCTTCCAAATTTCTGATTTGATCCTTTGCTTCATCTACCTTACAGTTATCTCCCTGTAATGTATTCTTCATTTCAGTTATTGTAGTCTTAATGTGTTAGTGGTTTTTTTCTTTCCTACATCTTTCTTGAAATTCTCACTAAGTTCATCTACTCTTCCCCTAAGCTTGTTGAGGATTCTTACAGACAGTGTTTTGAACTCTGTGTTTGGTATATTCTTTGCATTTTATTTAGATCTTTTCCTGGAGTTTTGTTCTGTTCTTTCATTTTGGATATGGTTGTTTTGTTACCTCATTTTTGCTGCCTTCCTGTTTTGCTTTTTATATATTAGTTAAAGCAGCTACATCTTCTGATCTTGGTAGAGTTAGCCTAATGTATTAGGTGTCCTATAGGGCCCGGTGGTATATCTACCCTGCTTACCTGAGCTGGCTGCTCCAGATATAGTACCCTCCATGGTCCGTGTATACCGTCCTGTTTTACTTGAGCTTTAATTATTGTTGGCATTTCAGTGGAAAGGATTTACCCCTAGGCTGATTGACTATAGCAGAGAATCTGCTGTGCAAGGGTAACCCCCCTAGAGCAAGACTTGCTGCCAAGTTGTTGCGGAGTGCAGTGTGTCACTCAGGGAGTTGGTTGGCTGATGATTCAGTATGGTGAACCTGTCCAAAAGTTGTCTACTTGGGTGCACTGGCTCTGGGGCCTCCTGTGAAGTGTAGGTCAAGATCAGCTGCCACTTGGGGCTACCTGGTATGAGCTAAAAAGTCATCTGCAGATGGGCTCTGAGGTACCCTAGGAGAGGCCAAGCTGCAAACCAAGGCTGGCTGCCTCTAGTGCAAGGCCTACAGCCAGTTGACAAGAGGTTCAGGGTGCACCAAGGGCAGATGCTGCTTATTTTGAGTTTTTCAACCTTTTGAGAGATTTTAGGAAAATCTGAGCATGAGCCAAGACAGGCTGTTTGTATAGGAAAGCCATTGGCAATGGCTTGAGTAGTGGATCTACAAGTTTGATGGTGCAGGGTCTCAGGGAATCACTGATGCAGGGTGACCAGTATTAGGCATTTTGATGGAGACTCAGATTTATTGCCTACTTTCCAGCTCTGTGAGGGAAGGGCTCAGCAAAGGAACAATTGCTTCTGTTAGCACTTCTGTCTGGGAGATAGCTGTCCCTCCAGCCCTTGCCCTGAAGCCAGAGAATTCATTTTCTCCCCTTTTGTCCCTGGCTTATTATGAGATACTCCCTCAGTGATGGGGCTAAGATACAGTGAATCTAAGTCCATGCACAGACTCTTTAAAAGGACAACCTGGGACTCCAGAAGCCCTCTGCCTCACTGAGCCATAATTCTGTCTGGTTTTCATAGATAGAAGTTATAGAGACTTTTCTTCCTGGCACTGGAACCCAGAGTCCTGTGTGGAGCTGGGACCTCTTGCTCATCAGGGAAACCTCTGCAGCAGTGATATTCTTCCTGATTTTAGTATATGTGCTGCTGAAGTGAGCAGTCTTTCCCAATTTTTAATTGCTATACATGGATGTGGGACTAGC